ACATACTATGAACCGGAACATCTTTAAAATCTTAACCACACTTAATGGATTCGTTCACTTCAATAAAAGCACATGTCTCCATGCAATTTACATGCCATGTTTGTTGTGTGGTGAACGGTAAGACAGTATGGATACGGAAATATACGAATATTACTCATTGTTTGTTTCTACTGTAGAGCAGAGCTTGTTAGGATGTCTGGCAAAATAGCAACGTATTATCTACCGATAAAATATCGGTGCTGTTCTATATTTCTACTTTTCTCATTTCGTTTATGTTATTCACCTTATTTTCTCAGCATCTCATCGTCCAACATAAATGTATTTTGATGTATAATTGCTTATCGTTTACACTTTGGAAATAGATTGTATTTATAATCAAATTGACTTTCAAAAGTTTTGGAAATCAATTATATTAGCACGGATTTAACTTTTTTTAGGAGACCACAAACTTTATTTTACATCTTCAAAAGTTGTATAATCTTTGACACAAGCTTTGACATGTTAGACTTGAATGCATTTTTATCAAGTGTAAAATAGAGGATACCGCATAAAAATGCGCCAAAATTTTGATAAGTAGTGTATTTCTTGTTTTCACCGCACCTTTAAGAGATACACAGTATAGATGCATAGATTTTATGCACGTTCATTGGTTTATCTAATCACAATTATTTTTATTCGTAATGCATTTAAACCATTAGCCAGATATTTATGATTTTATTTATATATAATATCTGTGTGACTTACTTCGTTATTCAAGGAAACGATTTCCATACAGCTTCGGGCATAAGTTCTATTGTAATTAATTTAATTGTTAAATTCCTCTATATTAAGAGAACAATGATGAAGAAAAACATGCAAACGAACGAATCGGTGGGCGCTGGTGAAACACTTTTTGTATGGGAATATTTGTTGAAAATTCAACAATACGCCACCTATTAAAGACAATAAAGATTTTCGTTACTACTGCTGTCTTGACACAGCTCTAGCGAACTATATAGCTGTATTGCAAACGTATTAGTACTGACACCGATTCTGTGTATGCGTTTGTGTTGTAAATTTTGCACAAGCAGCTACGGTTGACGACTGAATGCAGAATTTGCAATACAAACGGACACACAAAATCATTGTCATTGTGTTCATTAGTAACAAAAATCTTTATGTATTTTAATAGATGTCGTATTCGTTGAATCTTCAACAAAAAATCTTCGATACCAGCGCCCACCGGAACGAATTGAGGGTCATTTATGGAATTTATTCTGTGGAAGCCAAGTTAAATACGCTTAAAGAATAGTTCACAACATGGATTATTCGTGATATGCCTTTCGTTTGCTCTTTGCTTGCCAAAATCAATTTATTTTACATTGTAGTTTCCATCAGTGTTGTGTCAACAATGTTCGGTCTTTCATCAAACGTTTTGACAGCATCGTTTTGTATGCGAAACAAGAAGGAACAATCATGTATTTAAAAAAACATGCAATTATTCATGTAAACAGAAAATCTACTTCAGAGTGGATTAAAGTATATATACACTAAACATACAACCATAAATAAGAAGAAGATTGCAATATACCGGAATTATGTATCTTCTTCGTTGCATTTGACACGTTACTTGCACGTTAAATACGTGCTACGTATGCAAATCTATACATATACACGGATTCCGTATTTTCTGCGAAACTTGTGCACCTTCGGTAGTTTACGCCAGGCTTATTTGTTTTGTAAGACAGCAAACGGTGTGGTAAGTAAAAGCTTAAAATAGAAGAGATTAAAAATCAAAGTAACAAACTAGAAGATGGTGAATTGTAAGCACAAGGTCTTCAAGGATTCAACGGAAAGTAAAAATGTTACATTTAATTTACAAAATCGTCTGTACAACATATGCACAAACTCCATTGTCATCATCGTCGTCGTCGTCGTCGTCGTCGTCGGCGTCGGCAATGCTGTTCTTTGCCTCAACCCAAACGGAGAGCATTTTAACGAGCACACTTACATAATTTTGAAAATATTAAAGGTGTTTTGTGCAGTTCGTCGCAATCACACACACCGTTTTCGTTTTGAATGAATTTGTGTATTCATTTGTTGGAACTTGTCTTGCATACAAAAACCACGAATGCACACGTGATGGATTATCAAATTGTTTATTTTATGGTTGGCGATATATGAAATTTGTTTGCTCCCAGTGTATACAATGATGCTAAGCTGTCTTAGTAGCTGTCAACCGAATCTGTGATTCAGTACATGTGAATGATCTGCACTTACTATTTTCTCTCTCTCAATATAACTCTATCTGTCTCATTCCTTTGTTCACTTAGCTTCAGTTGCTGGATTTAATCAAAATCCGACGAAGTGAACATAAGTGGTAAATTATATTTTCGTCGTAATTATTGTTGCATCAACCCGATACAACTATTATTATGCGTGTATGTTGAAGTGTGTTGCACACACACACACACACACGTTGCCCCGTACATCGTTCGTTTAATTCCTAATATTCAACAATGCTATGTCAAAATGGATGTCACTACCGATTAAAACACCAATTTGTCACATCATAACAATTCTGGCCTGAAATGGAATTCAACAACTCATATTGGATAACGCTAATTAAACCAGATTCAAATTCGATTTGCATTTGCTATTATAACAAAATTGAAATTAAATCGAAGTAAATTTAGCATGTATATTGTAATCCATTAAAAAGATTTACCATAAATTTTCCACCATCCGAGCGTGAGCGAGCGCGCACTAATTCCATCTCGGGCAAAACCCCGGTACAACAATATCAGGTCAAACCATAAAAGTCATATCCGTATGTACGGCGACTAATAAATTTGTGATCATTATATGCCACAGTAAAATTGATATCAATCATATTTTTCGAACATATTATATTATTTTGTAGCAGAGAGAGATTATAATTAATCGACCCATGTCATAAAACTGACAAGATTTGTCGTTGGTTTTTCCGCTTTTCTTCAGGTAGATTGAGGACGTTCATGTGAGTTTGCTTCTCTAGAAAATTGGATATTCTCTTAGAGATACAGTCGGATTTTTTCTCGGCCCAGAAATTTACATGATTAATGAAAATTTAATGAACATTTTATATCGATATTTAACCATGCCAAAGCTTTGCATAGACTCCATTTTTTAAAAAGAATATTCGAAAGACACACGTGTATTGGTGGAAAACCGTCTTTTTATAGTATATAAATAAATTATAATCTGTGTTTAACGGACACCTTTTATTTTAGTTGAAAACTTCTTCAAACTTCTTCTTGAACTGCTTGCTATCTCTTAAGCAAACACGCTGCCAATGTACTTGGAAGTAATGCTCGATGTATCGATGTATAAAAGAATTTCAGACCCCCAGGAGTCCGCTGACAAACGAAGCGATTTTTATCAAAGTCGTACGACTTGAACTCGAGTTATGTAGGTAATTTTGTCTGAAAATTCAAGAAAATACATAGAAATATGGTAGTTTGCTGCACCAGAGCTTCTCTTCACAAGGTTAATCCAGTTCAAGGTTCTGGCTATGTCTTTTTGAAATTTTAATCAAAATTGTAGGGCTTGAACTCAAATTATAACGTACAATCAAGTTGTCATCAGATTTTCATACAATTTTTTGATGATATATCAAAATAAACTGTGGTTATTCAAGACCATAAGAACAAAATTAAAATTCGATAAATTGATTGGTTGTCTGTAATTTCTATAAGTAAGAAATCATTTGAGTTGTAATTGCTGTTTAAAAATGTAAAATACTAATTACCAAAAAAAAAAAAAAAAAAAGTGAATAAAACTCTGAACAGCTCGAATATTTTGTACCTTTTAATATTTTATCTCTCTTGAGCGTAGAAGAAAGTTGCTTCGGTCCCGTGAGATTCTCTTAAATAAAGGTTTTTTGTAATTAAATCAGTCTGAGAATAATAAAGTTTGAAACTTTTTCCAATGGAATTCAATCAAAGTATGGTATTTTTTCCTTCTTTACCCAAAACTAATCATTTCCAACATGAAGCCATCACTTGCCGCTTTATAGAATATTTCGTTTTAAATGATTAATACTTATTAATGGTTAATGGTTTGTTTGAACGCAAATTATATATGTACGAGTTCATAATGGTTTTTTTTTTCTTACCATTATGTTGTCCCATTGTGTGACCAACATTTTGAGGACGTACAACCTTAAATTCTCATTTAAAAAAAATGGAAAATGACATTTTTCAGTATTGAAATGATTGAAAATGACAAATTATGGCAGCGATTCCAATCGATGTATATTTTAAACAGAAGTTAGATGAAATCAGTATCACTGAAAACCGTGTTTTTCACCTAAGTGTAGTAAATATTCGCGATAGAACAAGCATCGTCTCTGAACAAAGCAAATGAATTATGCTGTTCTCCAATATTTGATTTCCATCGTTGGCATTCACATTCGACGTGGGTTTAAAATGTCATTATGTACAACGTGGATGTACATTGTACGTCAGTTCATGCATTCATACCAAAAAGTAAACGGACTATTCACAACGCACATCATACAATTTGAAGGTTTACGATAACATAGCCAAAAACATAAAAGCAGAAAATGCAGAATAATAACAATAGTATTATCGTTATTATACATCGTGTGATAACAAATCTTTGGTCGACCATTCTGTCGACCATTCTGTCGACCATTTCTACTCTTTGTTTTCGATTGAATAGAGAGCAACAGAGGAAAAATAGAGGCAAAGTGAGGCCAGAGCACATACGGCTTTTGTATTTGTGTAATTATGTTTGATTGTATGAATGTGCGGTCGAATGCTACTGTTGTCATTATTGTTCCGCTTTATCCGATGTCGGCTGTTCGGTTGCCCATTCGATTAGTCCATTTTGTGATGGTGACTTTTTTTTGTCTGAACATTCTATCCTGTAATTGTGCATGACACCATCGCATTTAATAGCCTTTAATAGACGAAACATAATTGATTTCTTTTACAGTTTTTTTTTTTTTAATTGCATTTCATTTATTTCGTTTTAGCAAAATTGTTGATTCATGAAACATATTTTCTGGTTTGGTTTTGTTCGATTGCTATCCTTGAATGGATGCAGAGAAGCAGTTTATTTCTTCGCCAATATCGTAACCACAATCGTCAAAAAGTCGCACATAAATCGATCGGTCATTGATTTTCCTATTGGACATTTTTTTTAAAAATCATTATTTCACAGTCACTCGAATTCCATTTATACATTATTTGTATATACTTACGCCACTTCAGCCAAGAAAAATGTTTGCGGTAGTTTTTCTTTGACATAATTGACCAATTCGGATTCAGTGCAATTTTGATTACTTACATTGGTAAATGTAAAAAGCACTGATTGAAATGGGAATTTGTCGCATATGTTTGTCCACTTGTAAATGTTTCTCATTAAAACTATATGCGTTGTACCATAATCAAGTAAAAATACCTGAAAAAAACATTTTTGCATATTTTATCACAAAATTATAACTAAAAAAAAGGTGAGATTATTTACCGTAATTCGTTGCTGAACACAGTCCAACACTCTGGCTCGATAAAAGAAACCATTTTCCAGTAATACCAAAACCAATTCCGATTTTTCTGCCAATATGTAATAGAAAACGATAGCGAATTACTTCGTGTGAGCTCACAAATCAATAACTTTTTCATAGACAGATGAAATATTTTACCTGGTATCTGGGTGTATTGTTTGTACTCGTAATGTGCTCGACGTACGTTCAATTGCTGCTCAAAGTATTGCAGTCCATTGAATTCTCTTCCCAATTGACCATAGAATTCATTGGCATTCAGCACAAATGTCGGTAGAATGGTAGTCTGGTCGCCAACATTGGGTACTTTAAGGTGGCTGTGATGGCTTTGAAAATCTGATGGATAAACACATACACACACACATATATATATATAATGGTGCAAATAAAAACATTATACCAAAATGAATACAAAAAAAGAACCGAAAAGCAAATTGAACGAGTTATGTGATTTTTCCTGTGCGTGCATGCACACAGCACAATTTTAAATGATGCAATCGAATGCTGCATTATTAACGAGTTGGATTTACTAGAGAGAGAGAGAGAGAGAGAGAGAGAGAGAGAGAGAGAGAGAGAGAGAGAGAGAAAGAGGAATGGAAACACTTACAGTATGTTGTTTCGCATTGCGTCTTCATTGGGCGAACGCTTTTAAATGTCAATGATGATTTTGAGCCGGGTGATTGTTGTTTCTGTTGCCAGTCCCGCCAATCACTCACTGAACAATATGGCTGAGAAGGGACATTGATGATGTTTGTCTGTCGTTTGTTGGCTACTACAACTGAATGTATGTTTGATGCGAAATCGTTCAAACGATTTTTAATTGAAATTGATTTTTCGTCGATTCGCAACGGTTGTTGCTCTGTATCAAGTGCTGAACCAGCAACACCACCGGCTGCTCCATTTGCATCATCGTTATACTCATCGTTGTGTGTCGTTGTGTTGTTGCGGTGTGATGTTGCGAATGCATTGCGAAATTCGTTCAATTGAATGTCATTTGATGTATTGTCATTGAGATCATAATTGGAATTATTAATAGGATTTGGTATGTGCACTGATTTTTTCGATTGAACTTCCGTTGCCATATTCCATTTCCATTTCAGTGTTTCATTTATTGTTTGTTCAAGATTTGAACCGACATCATTTTTAACTACATCCAAACCATTTACCAGCTCACCACTATCCACGTCATCTAACGAATTTGAATCCTAACACAATTTAAATATATTAAATTCAATGAATATTCGATCGAGAAAAACAAAGAGAGAGAAAAAACAAACAAACAAAATGTGTGTTCTTCTACTATTTACCATATTTTCATTGAATCCAGCCAAAAACGGATTTGTTGAATAAATATCGATGTGAAGCATTTGGCTGCTACATTCACATGGAAGAAAAATATACGTGAACAATAATAAATAAATATGATGAAATCAATGTCAATGGATGTATAGATGTGGATTTAATAAAGGATCACTTACTTGCTTTCAGCGGTTTTACAAATGCGATATTCAAATATTTGACCTTTCAGTGAATCGCACAACGATTCCATTTTTTCTGATCCAATCTATGCACAAAATAATTTAAATCAATTGATTGTTAATTTGAAATTTTAATTGATTCATACCTGATTGATTTTGCAGAGGAATGCACAAGGTGGAAGTGATTTAATATCGGCTGGTAGTTTTTGAAAATTATAATCCTCAAGATCAATCATTTCACCCGTATCGATCAAGCGGATACGTAACGCAGCCGTCTGGAATGAATATTAGCCATTGAAAATGAAAAACGTGTCCTCGTAAATGACGTTTTGATGATGTTACAGAAAAACAAATCATACCAATGAATCGAAAATGAATTTTGCACGATGCACTTTCGAATCGATTTTGATGCCAAAAATGTCATTCAAACCAAGCGAACTAGAACCATTCGAATCGACTTCTTGAACCATGGACTGCTTCCAAAAATGTTTCAATTGCGAGAAAATTTCGCTGGAAAATTACAATGCACACATTATTTAAAATGTACAATAAACTTTGTTCGTGCAACAAAAAACTCACCCATTTATATCGATAACATAGCAAATAAACTGTTGTGCATCGACAATATGAGTAATTTGACATTTATTGTTGGCAAATTCTTTTTGTGTGTGACATTCTTCCAACGATGTGGCTTGTTCATCAAAATGGGCAAAAACAATGTCAACGTCTGAATTAAAATTTTTCAAAATGTCATGAAAGTTTTTCATTGTTGTTTTCATCGTTTGAAACTTCGATTTGTCGTTTTGCAATTCATTTTCACCAGACACAATTGAACTTATCTATATAACAATAAGGTGCAATACACTTAAATATCAATGAAAAAAAAAAGCAAATGCATCTTCAACTTACGACTTGATCGAAAAGATTGATGTTTTGAGCGGCCGTTTTGAGCTCTTCTTCGAATTCAACAAACGAAAATGTTTCCTCCAATTCCGATTCCATCGATAAAACTGATATTTATTTTCAAATTCAAAATAATCAATGTTTGACCGATCGATGAATGCGCAAAAAAAAATTTGCTTGTCAAAAATTGTTGAGCTAAATATTATGTCAGTTCATTTGATGTACGTACAGCAAGCGAAACGAAAAGAAGCGGCGAATGTTATTGTAAAATGGTTGACGCTGACAACACAAACATGTGAACCGTTTACATAAGACAAAAACAATCAGTTGAAATTAGTCGAGAGTTGTGTTTATATTAGTCGCTGGATGAGAACGATAATCTCGAATGTGCGATGCGATGTGCCGATGTATTGGTGCAAATTGAATCACTTCAACGATATTATCGTTTCAAGTGGCTGTCGAATTCGGAATATACAGTGATACAATTAAGAATGAGATAGAAAGAGAATAGAGCGATCGAAATGAATACACAATGCACAGCAGCTTCTTGGGTCTGAAATTCTAATGACAGAGTAAATTGTATGCGTTTTTGTATTTGTTAGTGTGTATAACGTCGAAGAAAATACAAAAGAAAATGTCAAACTAAAACCATGTGAAATTAATTGTATGCAAGCGTGTTAACGAAAAACTTTTTTTTGCCACATACACCATCGATCGAAGCGTTCATCCACTTCAATGAGTAACATTGTGATGAACGAGTGAAATATTTGGCGCGACAGCATTGTTGCGAATTTTGTAACTCTTTCTCTATCTCATGAAACACAACACTCGAATGTTTTTCTCTTTGTATGAGAAATCGAAACCGATGAAGGAATTTTGCGCCAAAATTTGTGTGTATGTACGTATGTCATTCGTGCATTAAATGGCACATTGAAAATGTTATTAAATTTCTTGGTGAAACTATTATTTTCTCCGAAAAGTGTAATTGAGATTTGGTATTTGCGTGCCTGCTTTTGTGTGAGTGCATCGTCTTGAATTCGGGTTTGATTGTACCGCCTGGCATGTGTTTATTAAATGTTGACTGTACCACACACGATTCACTGGAAATTTGTCGTTGCAATTGACAAATATAAAATTGGATTTCACGCATTGCACTAGTGCTCACTGCTCATACATTGAAATCGATACGGGTGAGGATGATAATGATGATGGCAACAACAACCAAAATTGAACATGCTTTTTAATCTAAGAGCATGGTCATTTTATGCTATTCAAAATAGCTGCATGTATATATAAGTTGAAGTTCTCGTCGAAAATATTCTGCGCTGAGTTGTTTCACATGCCAATATTGAATTTGATCCGATAATTTTGTTGCATTTGTTGTTTCAAGTTGCCACATCAAAACAAACAAACTAATTACATGAATTCAACAAAGTGAGATAAAAAAAACCATCGACCGAATATAGAGCATTGAAATAGAGAGCGAGAGAAATAGGATAACGATAGCAACATAACGACCAAATTGCAGTACATATGCTTTTCATTAATACGAGAACAAAACCAACAGCAACTATTTCCTTGTTATTTGTTCCATAATTCGATGTTCACAGTTAAATCGTTTATTTCGAGGTATTTTTGATTGGTGTTTACTGCTTATTCTATTAGATTTTCATATTCGCTTTAAAATGTGATAGCTAAAATTGAAAACAAAAAAAAAAATATATCAGAGTGTGTTCCGGCAAAAATCCTTTGAAATTATAATTTGTACGCCCAATAGAATGAAATGTCATACGAATGGGTTTGAGAAACATTTATCATAAAAATCAAACAAAAAAAAATCGTACAGCGGGTATGTGTATCGATTTGCAAACAAAATCGCGTTGGCCAAGATGTGATATCGCATTCAGTCCAGATGAATAATTTGTATATATCGAGCATTGCTTCGTAATTTTATTTGTGAGAGGGCGGTGAAAGAATCAAAACGGGTAAAAAAAAATCAGCATAAAAACAGATATCCAATTAATTTTACTTTAATTCGATTTATTTTATTGTTTTGGATGTTTTATACTGTACTCCGTACAGTTTGTTCATATTTCATGAGCAGTCCTGTTTTGCACTTTTCGGCGATCCCTCTCTTTATTTCAATTCTTTTTTTTTCTCGTTGTACTTTTAGTCATTTTCGGTTGTTATCTCGCTTAAATTTGGAATGTATTTGCGTGGTGAGCCGCTTCACTAACTAGCCAAATTACAACGAGTCTGCAAACGAATGCGCACGCGATGAGTTCACATCAAATCCCGGTCGAAAACCAAATAATCACTCGACAATTGTATTCGACAAGCCATACTTTCCATACTCTCGCTCTCTCTCTCTCTCTCTCTCTCTTTCTCTCTCTCTGCTTTCATACACGCCCAAGCTTAGCCATTTGCGTATTATTTTGTGCATGCTATTGACACATTTGAGCATAATCTATCAAACATAATTAATGATGTTTTTACGTTGTATTGGCTTGAATATAGGAAAATACAAAACGATGATACGCAATTAAATAAATTACTTTTGTGTGCAGTTATAAAACACCTCTGTCTCTGTTTGGGGACAAAACCGAAAAAGTAAACACACCGAAAATGAGAGAGAGAGAGATATTGAACGTGCATGACCCAACAAGAAGGTATATGAAATCAAGAATTCAAATGGCACTTCTATTTGTTGATTTAATATTCCATTACTAATCATGGTTTTTTTCTTCGTTCAATCGATATATTTTAGATTTCATTGAAAAATTGACATCAGGGAAAAAATCATCGTGGAGACAAATGTTATTAACTAAATTGTTAAATTTTCAGTGGAAACAAAAGGAACCCAGATCGCTGAATGATTTTTGCCATCACATTTCAATAAGAGGCGAAGGGAGTTCTTTTTTTTTTGTTCGTCTTCAAATGTTATTAATGGCTCAACGAGTTACAGAGTATGCAAAATATTGTTAAATTTATTGTTCGGCTCTTTACATCCGAATTCAATTCCAAATAATGGCAAAATCAACACAGCACAAATCATGTCCGTTAATATTTTTGCTCCAAACCATACAATTTTTCCGCATATTTATTGTATATGTTTGCGTAGCAGTAATAAGCTGAAGCAAGACGGTTGCATTTCATTTGAATATATCATTGTTACTGTACAACATGAACATAAATTGTATGCAACAAATAAGGAAATGTGAAAACTTTCACCGTAGCAGCAGCAACAACAAAAAATTAACAAAACGAAGGGAAACAATGCGTTTGCGTTTGTAACGCACATGGTAGCTTTGTAAGCCGAACAAATCGAGATCATAGATTTACCCTTTATTTTACGCCATCAACGATTTTCCATCATTCTCATAATTTTAAAAACGTACGACGCAACACACATACATACACTTGTGACATTTTCCTTTTTCAAAAACGGAATTATTTGCATGCTAAAGGTTCCAATTCAACCATCAAAAATGCTTTTGATTAAAGTAAAGAAGTAAAAATATATATACCCGTATGGAATAAATGCAATGTATGTATTCGAAGAACTTCAGCTTTTTCGTTTGCATTTCGTTGCCATTTTCAATTTCGTTTTGCTTTCCATTCGTAATGTGTTTCTTTGGTCCTCATCAAGTTGTTCTGTACAAGTCATATCATCCATATATGAAATTTATGCATAAGTAATTTGTTTGAACATTTTTATGTCTTTTGACATGCACATTGACGATAGAATATTTATTCGTTGTATGTTTTTTTTTCTCTCGTACCACAAGTGGTTGTGCGGTGCGCGATAAGCGCGGGAGCGAACATAGCGAACACCACATACAGAACATATTGTTGAGTGAATGAATGCTGGCAGCAATAGTCACACACAAACACAGTCATAATTGAACCGATAAGTTGTAAAAATGAGTGGCGGTTAGTGTTTCAAACGATTAAGAACGATGAAGATTATAAGACTAAAATGCATGTTTCTATGTCAGCGATTGTGTTCTGAACAACAATAACTATATAACAACATGCTCAATTTTCGTGCCATTTTGATAACTTAACAGGACGTAAAATAATGAAAGGATCTGCTCATAAATTTTCGCTATGAATATATTTCACAATATTGTCGATACAAACGCGACGAACACATGAACATTGTGTGCACACAACACACGTTTCATTGAATGAAAAAAAAAGAGAGAAAAATAGAGCATAAATTAAGGTAAAATTTGGATGGAGAGAAATGTCTTCAATGTGGTTTCATAAAAAAGCATTCAAGTGAAAATATTTATTTAAGTTTACAACAAACGATGGATTTCTCTATAATTATAGAATACTTACAATTTTATTCGTCGCGTAAATACTACATTGATTAATGGGGAGGAAAAATGTTAATTTAAATCAGAAAGTCCGCAACGGTTTTTTTTCGCTTTATTTTATTATATAATCTTTATTGAATACATAACGACAATTAAACATTTTTTTTTTTCGAAATACATGAAATTTTTTTTTTGTTTAAAAACTTTAATTTTCTTGTTGTTTCTGTTTTGTTTTCAGTTTTGCATTTCATATCATCGTTTCTCATTTATTAATATAATATATTTGATATTTATAGTTCTTCTTAGACATAAAATTAATCAAAATAAATTATGTATGTGTGTGTGCTTTTTTTCTGTTTTGCTCCATTTTTTAGTATTATGGAAATAATCTTAATCCATTGTTTTTATATTTAAGTCGAATATAAATTTAGTTAGATAGTTTCCGAGGAAAATTATTGGGTACACACACCAAAATGTGGACTCTCACATTCTTTTTATACGCCATTTTTTTTTTTTTTGGTTTATTTTTATGTTTACCTCTAAATTTTGCCCATTTAAGATTTTTGAGCTTAACTGCTCATCCTTAGTGATGATGCCATTAACTTTTACTTTCAGTTTCATTTTTTTCTTCTTCTTGAATTTTTAGCTATTTTCCTTTGATTAACGTATAGTTTATAATATAAATAGATTATTTTTAATTACAATCATTACTGCCATATGAAATGACTAAGAAAATACATGTAAACCGTATATATATTTATATCATAAAATTTCGGCGATTCATTCATCGAACCCCCGAGTTCAAGAATCAAATTATCGTCAATTTTTACCACGCAAATTTTAAGATAATTTAAACAACAAATCGAATTACGTTTATTTACCTTTTTCACTCTTCTTCAACAAATCATCCAGAATTTTTTGTTTTATTCAATTTCAAAGTCGAACGAATATTTTCGTGGGGCTGTCCAGTGAAATGAATGAACAAAAACCAAAAACAAAACATAAAAATTATAGTCTATATCGGAAATATCGTTTTCGATTCACATTCAAGTCGAGCCAATAATAGTTTTTTCTTCTTCTCTATTTCATATTCAATTAAATTATTGCCTAGCCACTGGCTTATTTCCTTTTATATGTATATCGTTGAGAGGATATTCAATAACTATAGAATTATCTGTTGTACGTTTATATTAGTTTATCGGTTTTTCCCCCTCTCCTTTTATCAACATACAAATTATCTATTTTCTATTACAATTTATTTGCATAAAATAAATCTGTTCTATAAATCGGTTACACAATGTATTTGCATTATTTGTGTATGTGTGTGTGTGCTGATATTTCAGCACCAATGTCGTTCAGGTTTTTTTCTTATTTGTGTAATTATTTATTGATTTTTTTTTTTTTAATTTTATACAAAATATTTTGCAGTAGAAGCTCTTTTTATCAGCTTCATAATGTGATCAAGATTTAGTTTTTTTTATTTAATTTTGTATATAAAGAAGACATTCTTCAATATCAAGTGCCGAATGCGATGCCACGCCAAAAGGCTGTGCACTTCTGGCAAGAGTATGAACGTCTAGCTTCATCAGGCAACAATATAGCTGTCATAATCTTACTGTTAAGACCATTATAATTCATACATTTATGTCATATAAATACTGTGTATTATTTACAGAATATATTCTTGGGTCATGCCATGCATTCGGTTCAGTTTAAAATACAGCTATTCCTGAAAAATAGTAACACGTTTATGCAACGATGTCCATCATCACCATTTTTATTTCAAAAGCGAAGTATTTTGGATTAAAAACTTAAGAAATGCCATACACAATGGTTTGAAGGGAAGTATTCGTTTGAAGTGGCGAGGTAGCAGGAACAACCGTTTGAAATTTGAAAACAAAAAAAAAAAAATGAAATGTCAGAAGAATTGTTCTCGACTCAGCGCTATACGATTCATCATAAAACAAAGCAGAAAAAAATTCTCTTTTAAAAATTGATGAAAAAGAACAACATCTTCATCACTGTTAACGCCATAAAATGGCCAATCTCAGTCTCGCTATCATTTAACTTGTTGTGTATTAAATATGTTTTTTTGTGTAGAAACCGTCTTTCTTTTTTTTTAATTCATAATGAAATTGGAGCTTTTAGCCAAATGATTTGCTGTGTGTTGCACCATTGAGCCAAGAAATTAGCTAAAATTAAATTTAGCTATAAATGTTGACATGACAGATAATTGACCAGACTTTCTCTTTATCGATAGAATGCAGCTGGTTCGATTTCTTAAATAGTTTTTTTTTTCAACTTCTCTACGCCTTCTGTGTATCCAACACCTTTAATTTTATTCCCAACCATCAATTGATGCAATTTTTGCAATTACAAATTGCATATCATGCAATGCAAACGCTAATTAAAGAACTAACCGACCGTTTTGGTTGGTCTAGAAAAGACAGATAATGTCGGATTGGCGCAGTGTCATTGATTGCTTTTAATAGTTTAACTCCTTGAGTGACTTCATTAATTCGCATTTATCCACTTTTAAGTTTTTCCCATTGCAACTTGCACCGCTGATTGCCATGGAAATCAACACGCACACATTCACACAAACGAACCATCTAAAACTTTCAATATGGCAAAAGATCTTTCTAGACATAGGAATTGAAGTGAATGAGTGTATTCGAGAGAACGAAAAATGTGAACGAATGAACTGTGAGACAACGCCGTTTAACTCACTGAATAAACTTGACTTAATAAAAAAACTTTACTTTGAATAGAGTTTGACGTTTCCAGGCAATTTGCGAATTTTGTTGTATTCTCTGACTCTCTGTTCGATTCACAGGCTTTCCATCAAACTAAAAAGAACATTCTATATGCTGTATCTGATTATATATTTCATTGAACAAAAAAAAAATGCGGGATTGAGGCAAATTCAAAATACACACTGGAGCATAAATTACGTTTATTAAATTAAAATATAATCAGTGGAAAAAGGCATATGTATAAACTTACAACTCGTCCATAATTCATTTTTATTTTATCTGCCTATCCCGAAAATTTGTTTGATGTTGCTTTGTCTGTCCTTTCATATTTATATATTTCATACGGTTTATATTGGCATGTAATATGTGTTGTCTTAGCTTGTCTCTTTAAGTCTATCTTATATTCCGTTGTTTTCAATGTGTACGAATGTGTTTTGTTGGTATGCGTAATATTCTTTTCTTGTTCTACATGGTTTTTTTTTTGTTTAAGTGGAATCTAGCTTCTTTCTAATGTGGTTTGTCTGCATGGAATAACATAATGATAATTTATTTTTATTTATTCGTTTCTTGCGGTATATGTTGAATTGTAGATGGGCAATGGGGTCGTGCATTCTAGTGTACATGAAGTTTCTTTTTTTTCTCTTTTTTCTTGTCTATTCTGAATTTTTGTGTTTTTCTCTCTCGCTATCTTTTTAAATATTTTGCGTGCATTTTATATGTACAGTGTGTTTGTATGTGTACATTCACAATGAATTTTTTTTCTAGGGGGTAGACGCAGTTCTTAGTAAGTGTTAGTTTTTTTTTCTAGTTTTTCTATAAATAAAACGCATGCTACTTCCTTTTTAAAGACCCCATGATGAGAAAAAACAAACGATTTAACTGCAATAAAGTGGAAAATTGAAAAAAATAACCACATACTCCAAAATATGGTGCCACATAATAGAGATGGTTAGTGTTAAAAAAAAGCTGATGAATTTCAGCAGCTGAATTAACTATTTTGAGGAAGTCACCTTCAAAATATAAAAGATAATTCGAAAATATAAAGTTTTTATACGAAGTTTTTTTTTGTTCTTACGCTTGGAAACTTCTCAAGAGACTTAGTTTCACCTAATATTTAAAAAAAAAATCATTTGATGTCTACCCCCTAGAACTATTTCGTTTATAAATCACATTTTATATTTTTTCATAACATTTTCCTGATGTTGGATTATATCTCTTTCCCTTCTCTCGCACACACACCCCGCGCGTCATATACTGTCATTCACTTTTCACGAGTATCTAAAAGAATATTTTATTAGCACAGCACATATTGTTTTAGACATACATAAATATAAAATATTTTTCCCGTCGTATAGTTTTCTATTTAGTACTGTTGCTTTTCGCTTTTTGTATCCTTTTTTTTCCGTTCGTTTGGTTTGTGAAGCGTTTTTATTCATTCTCTTATTTTATTTTGTTTGCCATTTTGTATAGTTGCCTATTATCGCTACACACAAATACATACCGCGCGCACATGGAATAAAAAAAAAGAAAGAAAGAAAAAAACATTTATATTTATATCGTTTTCATATACAGATGAGGGATATACAATGAATTATATAATGTGATACATATTAATAGAAATGGATTTATGTCATTTCGGCGGTTGGCATTTATCATGTCCAAACGAAACAAATGGAATGAATGTGAGTGTGTGCTTTCTCCTTCTCTGTATTCACATTGCATATAAATATGCGTTTGTGGCAAAAACCAACCAAAATTAGCATTCAGTTTTGGACACACATTAAGATACAAGCAATTAATGCGCGAATATCTTTATTTATATGTATATTTAATTATTCGCAGTTGATAAACTGTATCTAGTTCATGTTATGTTTTTTTTTTATTTATAAATTTCATATTTTCTTTTTATTATTATTCTTCAACATTCATTTCGATGGGGAAAAGGTTGAATATGTATTATAAAAGCATATTAATTATATTTCCATCATGATCTAGTCCACAATCCAGATTAGCTTCAATCCAACTCTATTTGCAAACGATGTTTATGTGTATGTATATATGTATGTATGTGTTTTGTAATGTAATAAAACTTATTTAGTCTCTCGAAAAATATAAAGGTGGTCTATTCAAAATAAAAATGAAATCGTCACCAAAACCACAAATGAAATTTCTCTATGGAATAAAAATGGAATCCGTTTCCGAATAAAGTAATTCGTCGTCTCTCAGTAAAAATAAGGGTGTCTGTATAATATTTTTTACACGCGCTCACTTAGTCCACTTTTCGGTAGACGTGTTCGTGTTTATATTAGTACACAGTTCGCTATACAGAAATCATACTAGCAAACACATTCTAGCGATGCCGAACAACTGCTTTTCGTGAGTGACGTTACATGCTAGGCCAAAACACGGAAGAAACGTAATTTTTAGAGTTCGTTTTTCGGCACAATTTTGTGTATAATTTTTGTTTAATTCTGCACACAAATGACAACTAACCTCAATATGAACAAAAATTGACATAAAACTCAATTTATCCGAAGTCTCAACCGTTTTGGAATAAATTTTAGTATGCATTTTTTCCGCTCAAATGCCAAAGGGATATATGTTAAGCACTTAAATATTTGAGCGGAAAAAATCTGAACTAAAATTTATCCCAAAAACGGTTAAGACTTCGGATAAATTCAGTTTTATGTCAATTTTTGTTCATATTGAGGTTAGTTATGATTTGTGTGTGTAGAGACCTTTCACTATTATTTATTTTAAGAGATAAATTCACTTTTTTGCAATAAGTTCGGTGGCGCTTAAGGAAACTAACAAGATTTGGGTGACAGTTCCACTTTTATAATTTTTTTAATTCCATTCATTTTATTTTGGAAACGGTGACTTTATTTGGTAACCAAACAGCATTTTATTCTTTTGGATACGAATGCATTTTTGTGATGACGACTTACTCTTTTAGAAAAAAAAACTTATCTATCGAATATTTTGAAACTCAACAATTTTGAACCTATGTCAACATAGTTTAGCTATCAAACGAAATTCAATCAATCAAATAATATCTAAAATTACTTGAAAAATATACTGAAAAACTCTGAAGAAAAAACTTGAATATTTCTTGATCAACCCAAAATCGTGTACCTGGGATTTACTTCCTTCATTCATTTACTGTCTACTTCAATTTTGAGCTACTTCTTTCTTTATCAGAATAAACAAATGTGACATTTTTCTTATGAGTTTTTACTTTTGTCCGTACAGCTTTGGTTTATTTTAAATTCGTATAAATGACTTTCTTGTTTCTGTCCATTTATTTTGTTTATGACATTAGATCGGAATATGCCGACTATAGTGGTAACCATATGGATATATATATATTTAGCATTATCCTACACTGGACAAAACGCCGTCATAAAATATGAGCATGTAATTTTATTTCATCATATCTTCTCTATTTGCTTTTAGAAATATTCGGACCAGTGATTTTTGGATTTTGGTAAAAAATATTTTCTATTCTGCCTTAAGTGAATAAAACACAGTTCGATTAGAAATCTTTTTAAGTTGTTAAAATTGTTCACATAATATTTAGTGCATTTATATGTATAAATAATCTTTGTTTGGGTAAATCACATCCAGGGCTTTTAGTAAGATGCTTTTTGATTGAAATTTGACCAAAATTTTGTTATTAGAACCAATTTGAATTAACAATTCAATGGCCCGACGTTTCATTCTAAATAAAAATGTCGTTCTTCCTTTTCATTGAAGTTAATTTATTTTTGTATGATTTTTATTCGGTCTGTGGGATCTGCATTTGCAAGAGTGACCCTTCAATTAAATTCCACATGATTTATACATAATGTGGCTCTAAAAATGTGTCAATATCAATGAAACTGTCATTGGATTATTTTCCATTTGTTTAAGACTATCTACGTTTATGAATAATTTAGTTTGGCATGACTTACAGTTACAGTTCGAGCTGATAAACTGGTAGGAATTTTGGTGAGTTTGTGACATTGGCAGCTGCAGCATCATCATCATCGTCGTCGTCGTCGTCGTCTTTTTTTCGTTGTTCATTTTCGGGATTGGTTCATGTATTCGTTCCGTTTTTCTTGTGCACCGCATAATCTGACACATTTGGCTCAACAATTTTGTATGGTCGTCAAATGTATGAGAAAAATGATTGGAATCATTGTGTTTGACAGTATTTGTTGCATCACTATTAATGGCAGTAGCATCCACAATGCTTCCGGTGTGTGAGTTTTTTTTGTTAATTTTTGGTATTGATGACGATGATGATGAAATTGATGGTGATGACAACAACATCTTCAATGATGACGATGACTTCATTTGATGTTTGTTCGTCCAATTATCGCTTAACCATTGATAGTATGATGATAATAACGCATCAAACATGACGACAATGGGCTTTCGTGAACATTTCACTAATATTAACATGCATATCACCAAATCGACAATTAGGAACTGCAACCACTCAAACAGCAATTTTCGTTGTTGGCATTTCATTACCGTGTAAGTGGCCAATAACAATGCAATATTTGCAGCGATTGGTATGCAAACATTTGGACGTGCACCGCTTGCTGCCAATGCACTAGCCGCCGTTTCTAAGCAATGATTAAATTCGTTATAATCAACACGCGTTATGGCACAGTAATGATTTAATGCACACACCCCTTCGCATGGTGATGTATTATAACGTACGGAATTCGCTTTATAATATCTGTAAAAAAAAGTGAGAGAGAAAAAAATACAAGTTCAGTTTTTCATTTTCATGTTTTTGTTGAATTCAAGCTAGATGGTTCATTTTCTGACACATACACAATCACTAAAAAATTATTTAACGGGATTCGAATTTTTATTTGAAAAAATTTATTGGATTTTATATTTATGTAAAAAAAAATCGATGGCATCTTTTTATGCTATGTAATACATTTCATGCTTGACCATATGGCAAACTACAATAGTTTATTCAAGTGAATCTATTATTCAATAATTTTTAATTTAAAATCCAAATCTCGCGCACGTCATTTTGATTTAAATAAGATTTGATTGAAAATGGGATGTACAGATAAGTGTCTAAAATGAACATATTCACCCAGACTTGTTTTCTAAAATTCAAATGACTGTCAAATTGTCGATGTAATTTATCGGTTTTTCCCCGTACTGAATTCAATGTACAGCACATTTGTCACAATTAATTCAAACATTAATATTTGAATAATTTAGTTAACCATTTTCAGTTTACAACTTCCGAATGCGAACGAGCATAAACTCTGTGTTCCGGTACGTACAGCGTACACACATTTTTGCGAATAGATTTTATTGAGAATTCGGCAATTTTAATACCAAATATGGAAAATGTACACATATATGTAACCACAAAACATAGACAGAGACAGAGATTTTTAGTGTATCTCCCAACATTACAAAATTTTATGTATGCAAACATGGTGAGTTAAAAGTCAAACACACTTCGCACATACATTTCAGTTTTGCCCACAGAAAATAATTGCTTAAAATGCAGTCGTCAGTTTATTCGTATTCGAATGTTTCAGTGCTGCATTTCATTTCTATTTCTCTATTTGATTAATAAAATGAGCGTCAACTGAGTGTGTGCGTTTGCTCAATGCATTCGATTCACAATATGCTTACGACGACGATGACGATGATGAAAAGTTCTTGAATTCATTGAAATATATGGTTCGGTGGACTCTCATTCAATGCACAAAGTTGATTTTGACTCAGACACATAGCTGTGTATCATAATTTTGCTTTATGAAAAGAAAAAAAACCAAAACTTTCAATTCTCGTTCTTTTTTTATTTCCCATTTACATTTGGTATTTTTATTGGAAGTGAATAGAAAATCCGAAGAAAGAAATTGCATTTGGTCAAAGATTTCAAGTAATGAGTGAATGGTTGAGTCAACATGCTTCGTTTGGTGTGCTCGGAAGCTCTCTAGGCGGTCGCAAAGAACGGATAACGATGATGTTGGTAACGGTGACGGTTGACGGTAACAAACCAGGAAAATCCGCAGTGGTGAATTTAATGAGCAAGAAGTAACTGTAAAACGGTGTATATTTGGCTGAAAATTTCTCAGTTGTAATGGCAAATGTGAGCGTGTGCGCGAGCGCCCACACCAGGACTTGTGTGTGTAGTCTTAGCTGACTTCCTACCAATGTTTTTCCATATAATTGGCTCCGTAACGTGAGCTCAGAATAAATATTAAAAAGTTTACACATAATTTGCATATTTTTTTGTTGTTGCTTGGCTGGTTTGGTGTGCATTGCGTGCACTCCCTATTTTCTCTAAAACTAACATAATTCTTGCTTGCTTTGACGTTGTGTGCTTGCATCGCTTTATCGTTCGGTTCAGTGAACACACTGCCTGTATTTAAGTTGAACTACACGCGTCACCACTGCATAATATAGTTTGACTGCACTAAACGAATAGCAGACTTGAGATTGTGTATTTGTTCATTGCAAGAGAAAGAAGAAAAAACCAAACAAGAAATATATATATATATATATATAGAAAAAAAATGAGCCAACAAATGTTCATTCATTCACTGAAGCGCAAAGTGTTAAGAAGTAAGATACCGAAGAAATTGCGCGCATCGAATCGAAAAGTTTTCACGAAGAAATTTACCATTGCTTTAGTTTTTCATTAACTAAAGATGGCTTATCGATATGCTGCAATCTTCTTAAAGATTAGTGGTTGATTTTTGTTGCTTGCTTGATTTTTTTTTTCACACACCAACGATTTACACATCGTGCCTGCAGGGACAAAACACAAACGGACGAAACAGGATTGAGAATGTTAACGATGTTTTACTTGGGATTTATTGATGATGGTTGTTGTTGTAAGCGAGCGGCTAAGATTGGACAAATGTATGTTTGTATGGAGGACTGTTTCGTATGTTGCACATGATCTATAATTCAATGAATGCGTGCTCGAATTACATGAGTTCTGATTTTTGACGGTCAATCGGTCCTCGAAGATTTTCCATCTATTTCAAATCTTGCGATTGCCGACTTACCGAGAAAGAAGAAAAAAACGTAGCCGCAGTAGCATATCCAATAAAATTAGGTTATTGTGAAAATAAATCAAGGCCACCAAATTGAACATATTCCAATAGATTTTGTGAAAATATTGAATTGGTGCTTCCATATAACCACCACAAACGTAAATTTTTTCGCACATCAGCTCACTTTAACTTCAACCTCAGTACCAAAAATCCCTAATTCAATATCTCGTATGAGCAGTTAAGCACACATATTTGGAAAAATATTCGGATATGGTTTCTGGCAAACTGCCCGCTAACTGGAAGTTAAAAACACTAAAATAAACAAAACACATAGAGCACAAAAACAGAAAGAGAATAAGTGATCGAAAATAACAGTACTCAAACACACAAAGGGAACGAGGCAAAAGGACCCGAAAAATATAGCAACTACGAAAAATGAATACGGGAAATAGTTGAGCTTACGTTCGCGCAATAAATAAACTCGATAAAGGCGAGCAAAATATATGGTAGCGTTTATTTTTGCCACAACGAAATAAATAGGATCCGTCTAAAGAAACCGAAATACAAGCTAAAAACCACAAAACATAGCTAAGCCAGAAAAAAGAAAAAAAAAACAGAAAGTGGGAAAAGAAAAAAGACAAAACAGAAGAACAAAAGCCAACGTTCAACAAAAATGAACGACGCACACACTAACACGTAATATAACCACAATAACATAACCAATCAATATAAAACGCTTTTCGGTGCAAATCAAAAAACGAATTGATTGAAATCCTGGCCGATTCGATATGAAATAAGCTATATTATGCTTTCCACAGTCGCATACCCATGATGGACTGCTGACTCAGTACGTTTCTCTGTGTGTTCGAAACATTTTGGTAATCGTACGTTTCGGTTAAGTTTTGCACTTTTGTTCAGGACTGATTCTGATTTCATTTTAGTTCTTTTATAGAATTTTTTAAGAATAGTGAACGGAATATTTCATTTGTTTTCACACACACACACACACACACACACACACACACATGCATTTATCCACCGTGTTTTTGCGATTAAATGTGTTTATCACAGTGTCTGGAATCGCTATATGCTTGCAATGTTATAAGATTCAACCAATATAGAAAGCGCCACCTAGTGTATTCCGTACTCAAACTAAATTTGAATTTAAAAAAAATCATTTAGTTCGCAAATATTCTGAATGTAATTTTAAATGTAGGTCGGAAAAACTACCAATCGATTTTTCTCGCTTTTCCGATGAGAAATCGGGAAAAATAGCGAAAATTCGGTACCCCCATACGGGAGTGGACCACGAGCACTCGTTTTCCAGAACACTTTGGACCAGGTCGGATCCACCTGCTCCACAAGATTCATTTCCAGCTCATTTCATCTCACAATCGCTTATATAACACAGTTTACTCTATAATATAATTTGAGATAGATTTGAGAGGGGGTACCGAATTTTCGCTATTTTTTTCGATTTCCCATCGGAAAAGCGAGAAAAATCGATTGGTAGTTTTTCCGACCTACATTTAAAATTACATTCAGAATATTTGCGAAATAAACGATTTTTTTAAATTCAAATTTAGTTTGAGTACGGAATACACTAGGTGGCGCTTTCTATATTGGTTGAAAATATACCAGACCATTTACTTATATTGGTTTATCACACCGGTATGTTTCATATTCAGCTGCAATTCCATCATTTCATCTGTTGTAGTACAAAACCATCAACCAATCGACGAACGAATTTGTTAAATCGATTTTTTTCATCTTTTCATCAACACGAATTTTCTCAAAAAAAAAAAATGCACAGAATGGCACTATACATAATTACAAGCATTTCACACGTACTTTAATGTATGTATTGAAAATGATTTGCCACAAGAGAATATATTGTTTCAATACTTACTTGCCGAACATTGGGTTGTCGGTGTTGGAAAATCGATCAGCCAAATTATGCAAAGCAACAGCATTCACTTCACCCGAACCAAAATATTGTGTTGTCAAGTTGTATTCCGCTTGCCACATTGCTTCACCCGCTTTGTTTGCATCATCCAAATTCAAGTAATATTGCGTGTAGTCCAGAACCTTGATTCGATAAAGAGTCAAATAAGACACAAATGAAATTATAACGTATTTGATGAGATACGATTTTTGCATGGCACATGAAAGTAAAAAAAAAACATTCGTTTCGATTCTGTTATCTCTATCACATCGACAAAAAATAATGGATCTAAATAAAAACAAACTTCCTCTGGAACAAATAATAATAGCATTTTCAACAGAATAAAATTCTGTATCATTTCCTGTGTGAACCGTTTGCCCTTATTTCCTTCATTTTTGCAACTTTTATGGTCATTCGCTTTTTCCGTTTGTCCTTTTAATCGAGTGATATCATTGTCCTTTGTATTTATTTTCTTTTATAATGCGACGCACATTGTTAGACAAATTGATTTAAAAAAAAATGCTGAACTTTCATATCAGTTTCCTATTAAAGCAGGTTTTGTCTTATCTTCCTTTGAATCCTACCACCTACAAGAGTGTTTTTGGACGAAATAAAAATGCCTTAGGAAATATTTCATACGGTTGAAGTTTGTTATTGTATGAATTGAAAATAATTCCCAAAACATGAACGAAAAAATAGCCATTATAATTATTTTTTAGTTAAACACATCATTTTCATATTTATTTTGAACGATTCCAAATGTCATGTAACGTGACATATCAATTTCCTACAATCGTAATTGTTAGCGAAGCTTGTGCCATATTCAATATTCTTCAAATCAATCTCAGACATAATAATAATATGGTGGATTTTTCATCTATTTTTTGTTTGCCATTTACAACATTCTCAAACTGTCAAACTTTCCTTTCTCATTTTAGTCAATGTACATACGTTTTTCCTGCATGCGGTAAGTTTTCCAGGTCTTGCAATAATCAATGGATTTCATGCCATGTTTGTCCGATAAATTTTTGATAAGCTCCGCCTGAAATATTTCATTGCTGCAACAGCACTATCCAAAGAATTTATCAATGCATAATAGACGCTATCATGAGTTCAATCAAATAAATAAGCTTATTTGTTTGAGATCAGCTGCTTACAGTATATTTTCCACTTTGAGCTTCACTAGATTTTAGTTCGTGAACAGTTATGCATTTTTGATGAATATCAAGAAGCTTTTATTCCACCTTTAATTAAAAATAACAGCACATGTCAGCCAAACCATATCATTCAGCTGGCTGTACTCAGCTCAGTACAATGTCTGACAGATAATGTCATTTTTGTTTGCTTTTTCAATCCAAGTGCACTTTTTCGAGAAAAAAAAATGTTGGCTCCATTTTCATTCCATTTTTCAAATGGATTCCATTTTTCAAATTCGCACTCATATATTCTCACGAATAGCATTGTGTCTTGTCATACATCTTTTTTTTCTGGACACACACACAGTCTATTGTGTCATCAGTTTTCATATGTATGGATTTCCATATAACTAGTAACGATTCCAATGACATGATCGGATATCAGGGCATACACCGTGCACATTTTCGAGTGCTTGACCAGAGAGCATATAGTTTGATTCAGCGTAAATGCGAGAATGACACTGGAGAGAGGCACACCCAGGCACGTAACTAAAAAAACTTTCGTAGCTGATTGAGTAAAATTGGCCAACCAAATCTGAAGAAAGAAAATCGAATCTGTGAAAAACTCAAAGAAAAACGATATGAACTAAAAACTAGATGAATAATAGAGGCAGTGAATATGTAATGTTTTTTCATCCATTTTAATGTTGAAAAATGTAACACGTTGACCCATTTTGGTGGTCATTTTTGTGTAATTCGAAGCGTCCTCTTCTGGTGGCACAAATCAAACTTCAGACGCTTTTTTTTACTTTTTATTTTGTTTCAAATGTTCGTTGCCGGACCTTCGATAGCTGTCGATGCTGTGTTACAGTCAGTGACACTCAAGTGGGATGTTCCAATAATATTTTTTATTTCAATCATGTCGAATTTTCGTTATGCATTTGAACTGACTGGGCGCGATGTCACTGAATCGAACGATATTTGATTTCGTCTTCATTCACATCGCCATTATAAGTTTGCGAATCTCACCACCATTTGTGTCAATCGTCCGATCAATTCGACTGTGAACTTGTGTCTGATAATGGACAGTTTTACGTTAAAAATTGTTGCTTGGGGTAGCGGCAGAGAATACCAAAAATCGAATAGTTGGCAATATTGCGTTATGGAATCAACGTTGCTGCATCGTAAAAATGGCCCAAAGACAAATAATCAAAAAAAAAAAAAAGGAAAATGAAAGAAAGAATTGTGTGTCTCCATAAATATAGAACAAATAATTTGGAATAGAGCATAAAAATTGATTTGTTGCTGCTCAATCTTCGGACTAAATTTATTATTCAGTGTTTGAGTTGACAAGCTTTTGTTCGTTGTGTGTGTATGTGTCGGATATGATGGTAGAAACATACATTTGTGGGTTCAGAAAAAACCAATTCAATTTTTCGCCAATGTTTTATTTCAATTTTCGTTTTTTTCCAAGATTTTTTCGCTCCATTTGCGGTCGAATGAATTGAAAAAATAAAAAAGACCGGAATGGCTTGTTCTATTTGCTACTCAATCAAAAAGCTTCATTCACACATTCTAATCAAATTCGGTTTTTTTCATATGCAAGCGAATCACCTTTTTTTGGATCATCGCTACGATCTAGACTTATTCAATATGTGACACGATTTTTTATTCGAATTCACAACACTAACACTTTTAATCATTTTAATAATTAATTTTACAAAGGTTGATTGGTTGCTTACGTGGCATGTTTAGATTGACCCCGACTATCACATAAGTCAACTTCAATTCACATGGATATCTCAACCATCAAAAATTTACCAATTTTGTCTGACACACTAGGTCATTTTTGATGAGCCAATTTACTTTTTACATGGTATACCACATTCACTTCATTAGACGCACCAAAAAAAAAACAATATATTTTATCTTTTGTTCGGATTTAACATCTCCATTTTTTTATAAAACATAATTGTTTTTTTGAGAGTAATTATTTTAATTGACATTCACTTTATACAGAATGGATATCCCTCCCACACTTTTTGTAAATGATAAAAATTAACTGACAAAGTGCCAACATCCCACATGTATTTATTTCATCGCATTTATAAAAAAAAATCTATTTCGAATGAGGAAACGTAACGAAACAGCGTATACGTGTCTGTTTATATTCATGTCATCGAGTTTCGTCTCCGTGGCTGAAATTATTTCGAAATATTATACATGAATGAGCGGTACGTTATCTTTTGCGATAATTCAATTTAACATTGAAAATGAGTAGAGAATAAAATGTTAATCGCCTATGTAAATATATTGACATGATATATATGTACATTGTATTCATTCTCGTTTTCAAACCTTCTCCTTCACCCCCCCCACTTATTCCATTCCACTCAATTGCTGTTATGCGTACAGTTTATTACATTTTACGTTGGTGGCTTGATTCATAATTACGCATTGCAAGTCAGTATCCTCTTGTCCACATTGATCGGTCGCAAACAACTCAATCAACAAAAAAAAAACAAAAAAAAAAAACAGAAATATACGTGCCGCTTACGCGCGCTTGAAAAATTCATTTGAAAAAACTTCAGGCGCGGTTAAAGCCTGGATGTATGAAGCCAAATGGTAGTGAAACAATGAAAAAGGTAACATTTAAAAGCATTACACGGTTGTGCACCGAGTGTCTTTGCTACCTTTAGACTCGCCAAGCCACACGAATAAAAAAAAAAGAGCAATGGGAGAACAAAAAAGTAGCATATGAAATTCGCACAGCTATTTAGGTCGATCAATTTATGCAGGCATGAACAACACAATAATACTGATGAATTCATGCGAAGAGAATGAAACGCGCACTGCGTGTTATATATCTATATAGAAACAAGTACACAATACATCAATTTCGATTCAAAAAGACGACACACACGCAGAAAAAAAAAGAATACAGATCAGCATTCTGCGCTGCACAAATATAACATTTGTGTGGAGGAAAAGGGATTGCATAAAAGAATGAAAAGACACGCATACAAAAATTGATATTTCAATGTCGATAAGGTTAAAAAAATATGTCCCTCGAACATTACATGATAACATTGTTAACAGCAACCGTAGCAACTGTTCAACATCACACCATTACCATTACCATTACTATCAGGCAATAGAAAAAAAAGTTACATCATTTTTTTGTTGTTGTTCGCTTGGTACTCACTCTCGATTCTGTTGTTTCGTTCTCTCAGTGTGTAATGTAAAGATATGTATCTGATGCGGAAATTCGAGAGGAAAAGCACAAAATAAATATCGTCGTCAAACAGAAATTCTTCATTGTATGCATTCAATTCGACAGTTGATTTTCTCTTTTTCTCCGTCTCCACCATCTCCTCTCCCCTTCACTTTTCATTATTTCTGGATCACATTCGCTTTTGCTTGTTCACTTTTTGGCTTTTTGTATACACACACATTTCATATACGTACAACTTTTCCTACTTCTCTGTCCAACACATGCGACCAGGATAATGCAAGAAGAGCAATTTTGTGTGTACATCACGAATATGTAATCTGTGATGGTTTTTTTGCTCTTGTTTTCGTCGTTGTTGTTATTGGTATTCGGCCACTGGAGATAGCAGAGGTGTTGGTAATGGTGAGCAATTTATCTGGCAAGAGAATAGCTTCAGTAAATTTGTTTTCGAACTAGGGGTATTGTCATTGTTGTGACTTTCTCAACCGTTTTGCCGTTACTTTATAAATTGCATTGGAATTAATTTCTGATTCATTTCAAAATTCCAATGAATTAAAGACCATTCCCACATGCTTGTGTTGTTTTCATTTTCCATTTTGTAATGTATTTACATACGCAATGCAAAACGTAACGATACATTTTATTCAAATTCCAAATGGTTCACACAAATTACAGTTAGACACATTTTTAAATTAATCGCCAAATACTGTGCCATATGGACAATGCTTTATTGTGCGTTTATGTGTGCACAATTTTTTTTTCTTTCCATCCTCCTGCTGTGTTTCCATTAATTGATAAAGTTTCTGTCGAATGAATTTATTTCGAGAGCGAAAGCTATTATTTTGAAGTACTTGTGGCTTAAATTTAGTGATTCATTTGAATCGATAAGTCTATTGAGACGTAACAGCCATAAAATATACATACAATATACACAAACCATCTCCAATTTTTATTTTGATGGAAACTCTATTTTTATTTCTTTTCCGCTATTGAAATAAATGAATGTAGTGTCTCTTTAGGTGACAATAAATATCGCCTTAATTTATCGAGTGTATGAAAAGAATCTAAAAAAAACCAATTGAAGTATGAAGTATGTTTAAAAGTTAAAGTTGGGTGAAAAAGTGCTCCGAACTTTTCGGTTAGTAAATTGAAAAATTTAACAGAATCATTTTAAAACAAAAACCTCTCATTTTCATAATCACAATGGAAAGTTCGAATAAGTAAAATAACCAAGAGAGATTAGATATCATTCACAGAAATGTGAAAATGATACATAACTTTAATATGTATATGCCAACTCCACGACCACGGTCTATCCGAGTTTTGTTTGAAAACTAAAATAGCACTTTGAATCGATCCTTCAATGGGTTATGGGTATATATATGTGTGAGAGTGGTTTTGTATAGAATGTGTATTGAATATATGGATGGCACAGCGGGTAATTTAACTTTTTGATTTCAGTTCAATCTTTGTTTAAACTATTGGTGCTTTTTCGTCCTCTGTTACCGTTCGTACTTGGCCGGAATTATTTTTGGCTTGAAATAGGACATACACACACATTGTATACACAATATAGAATGATAATAGTAGTAAAAAAAAAATCTTTGTGTAACTCGGAGCGCGATTAACCATCATCAGTGTGAGTCCAATGACCAATTTGTTTGCGGAAAGTTGTACGTGTGCAAAAGAACAATGGAACGCCACCACATATTTTATCAAATAACTTCAAATAAATTATCAAACCAACTGTTAAAATATTTTGTGATTACGATTTGAATATGTAAATGGATGGACAAGCAAGGGGGCACGCATGCATCAGATTCTCAATGCAACCAAAATCTACTGATTCGGCATATGCCGGAAATCTGGATTCAGTCAGTTTTTCATACACTGCTGCAATACTCAAAGCGAATTTTCAAACGCAGAATCAAATGTCTAATTGGGTAAATACCTAATACCAAATAATTTTCCACATCTTGTGCAATATAGAATCTAGCCGGCATTTCACATAATTTTCAATGAATGAGCTAGAGAGAGAGAAAGAGTGATCCACAGTAATAGCTATTATTCTTCGTTATTGTGGTAGATGCAAAGTTCTACTCTTTAATTATACCATTAAGTATATAAAACCAAATACCCTGAAAATGAATGAATGCATGGAAAGAAGTGGAAAGAGAGAAGGTGAGAGAGAGAGAAATCGGATTGAAATTAAAACAGATAAGAAGTTTTACAGTGCAACTATAGCTTTATATATAAAGCATACCGTGCTGTGTGGGTTTTTCGTCCATCCCATAAATTTGTGCCTGTGTATGTGCACTATAATTATCATATTAAACAAACACACAAACATGATCGCAGCATGCATACTTTTTTTTTACAAATCGTAATTTTATACAGTCGCATTTGCAGAAAATATTGAAATCGCGTTCGTCGCCATCCCTTTAAGTTCCTCTAAAATTTCCATTTACATCGATTCCCATCACCATATAAACACATCGAAACTATTTTAAATATGTAACCAATTGTGCAAATCTAGTAAAAGTGGCTCTAAAATATTGTGTCCACCACTTATAATGAATTGATGGCCCATTATGACTGGCGAATGAAAATGAGTGTGTGCGTGTGAGAGAGATGGAGAGAGAATGAGTCACACAAATGTTGCCTCTATAAAGTATTAAATACTTTTCTGTTCTGTTGGAAATTTTCGAATTGTTACGTCGATTAAGTGTAGGGACATAGTTGAGCGCATTGAATGTACGAAACGAGCAAATATACGGACAAGCGCGCATCAAAACGCACGCACTCGGCTCATTCAGGTGTATTCGACCGATACGAAATGTTCTATCGAAAGCGAATGAGATTCAATATTTTTGCGTGAGAGAATGTTCTCTTCCATGCATATTTCAAAATCATATTTCATTCCGTTTGCCGAAAACGACCGGAGTTATAGAAGCATCACCATCCAGAGAATGTGTGTGTTCATGTTTTTCTTCTACACAATAAGTATTTTTGGCCAAAATTTTGCATATGAATCGTGCTCTAGTATCTCTCACGCATTTGCAAATGTGCCAAAGTATCATAAGTATAGCACACACACACACACAGAGAGAGAGAGAGAGAGAGAGAGAGAGAGTGCAGCAACATTTTCCATCGTGCATCGTACACATGGTTCCCATTGTCGATATATTTGGCCATTTGGATATTACATTATAATAGGCTGAAATCGTGGTTATAACTTACAATGGTTTTGTGTCGGTTTGTGAATGTGTATGTGTATATTAAGAATCTATGTATGTTCCACATACATCAATGCATTTGGAAACTTAGTATTCGGTAAATGTTGTTATCAAACCATATACATTATTTCTGCATTCATTGCAGCGACGACATGCTGTGTGCTACGTTCTCGAAATGTGCACCACGCCATACAACGTAATCGACACGGCTTTTGTTTGTGTTCAAATGAAAAATATATATGAAGAGAGAGAGAGAGAGAGAGAGAGAGAAAGAGAGAGAGAGAGAGAGAATGTGTGGATGAAATGATTTAAAATTACAATTGTTTTACCAATTCTTTGTATCGTCCTTCTCATTTCTCCCATTTACACCGTACACACACACACACACACATACATGATTGTGTGGCCACATCGTTCGAACTTCAAATAGCTCATTTCTTTGCGATTTAGCAAAACAATAACTTTTTGAAATGAAAACTGTATTAAACTTCTACAATTAAAACCGAGTAATCTCTCGATATTAACATTTTTCACCATTCTATCATAAATTCTAGTCTACTCCATTTGAGAGCTCCATGCAAAAATTTCAACATTGAAATAGTGTGAAAGAGAGATGGAGCGATAGTTAAACTGACTAGGGAGACCATGGATAATATAGGGGTGAAAAATTGTGGATGCAATAGAGCAGGAAAGTGATAGAAACAGATATATGACAATAATGGAGAATTTGTGTCTAACCAATTTCAATGGACCATAGTTATAACAAACGGTTCATTTTTTATGAATGAAATAACTTAATAGCGTTTCAGCTATGTATTGTTCGGAATTCAAAATGAGAAACTCTCTTGAAATATGTACTGTTAGTAAATGCAGAGAGTTCCCGCTTTGCACACACACACACACACACACACACACACACACACTGAATAAATGCCATTTTGATCAAAAAAGTAAGCGCAGAGAATTGGGTAGCACTAAAATAATAAAAAAATTATGTCTTAAAAATGAACTGATTCAATTCGTTGATTGTGTTAGATATTAAAAGGTGTTCAGTTTGTAGCATATGTAAAATTCGTTGCGACGTAATTAAAATATTATTAAGTCGGGGTGTAATCGACAGAGTTTCACATATAAAATATGCACATCGAATCATTGTGAATGTATATATGAAAAACATCCATACCCACGTTGTTGCGACGTTTGCTGCATATGGACAACAACAGGCACACATTTTAATACACACCACACAATTTCATGTGCTGGAAACAAGCGCCAATTATTCAGAAAGAAAATTATTACGAAATTATGTGAACTTATAAATATATGCGAGATAGAGAGAGAGAGAGAGAGAGATGAAGAAAGAAATGCGCCACTTTTCACGTTTGTGAGTCTATGCAGTTGGTAATGTTATCGATATTCAAATAGTCGACAGTACGAGCGAAAAAAAATTGATCAAATATTCATTGCATATCCTAATCATAGACGTCGTCTGGTAAAACGAAACCTACTTCAATAAACAACGACCGTAAATGCGGTAGAGGGTAGTTGAAATATGAAAAAAAAAAAACTTAAGCGAGAAAAAAATGCGTCGATAAACAATCGCGCAAAGTAGTGAACAATTTTGAAATTTACTTCAATAAACTAATAAAAGCACAAAACAAAGCAAAAAAAAAAGAAGAAAAAAGAGTGAACTCCACAGCGCCTGCTGTATGTTCAATGTTCATTTAGTTGAATGGCTGTTGCTACTTACTTGGCCTGTATCCGTGTCGAATTTGTAGAGCCGCATGGCGGGATTGTTCGAGCCGATCGACTGTTTTTTCGGTGTAACAGATGGTGCAATCATAATCCATGAGACTGGTTTTCCTGCAATAAATCCCATTATTGGTATAATTAGTCGAATCATAATGTTAATTTTTCCTTCGCACATTGTAATTAAACATTAAAAGATATATATGTATATACATAACACATCAGCTGGCAAAAAGTATTTTCATTACATCTATTTCGCATTGCCACTTGATTTGGCGTCACATTTTCCTTCAATTTAATAAAAACCAACCATAATTTTCGGTTCATTTTCAGTCCGTACGCGTCAAGAGAATGGAAAACATATATACTCACTCACTATATGAAATTCGTCGCATATTAAATTGTTGTCTTCATTGGGGACCATAAGTCGAAAAATCAAACTTATTTTATTATTTACAAAAGAATCTCAACATATAACCAGTGTTCACACACACATACATACTTAATAACAAAATGTTTGCTTCGGATGTGAGTGCATGTAACATGACCATTGGTCACATCGTGCATTAAAAGATTATGTTAAAAACATTCAATACGCCTTCATTCGACTATTTCACGTCATACGAAATCAAGTGACAACGATGACGACAATGATGTCGATGAATTTTCGGTTCGTAAAGCCGTAATAATGTTTTGACATGAAAAGAGCAATTGAATTGATTTTGAAGTTAATTTTTGTCGAATGGATATTTAGGAGAATAGAGAGGCAATGTAAGTGTTATTATTGATAACTAAAAATTACCCTAGAGCATATCTATGTATGGAATCAATCACAAAAAAAAGCGAATAAACGAATTAAATTATTTATTCAGTTGAACCATTCACATTCGAAATGCGACTTGGAATTCAGTTCATAAAAAAGTTGTACGCGGCTGGTTTGTCCTGAAAAAAAAAAAAAAAACAATGACTCCCCTCCTGCCAATTAATATTATAAATAATCCAATGACAATTAGGTTGAACAAATTGTATTCAATTGCTCATGTTGATGCCGATCGGCTATTCATCGGAAATAATTCAAAGTAGACAACCATTTCGTATCATTTATTGATATAAATTATCGATCTACGCAACTATTTGATACCATTTTCTTTGGTATATCGTATGAATTCTAGCAAAGAATTTAAGAAAAAGCATAAAGATATAACTAACAATAGACGTATAAAATGGAAAAGGAAACTCATGTTTTCAAGAAATGCTTTGCTATTTCCCATTTGTAGGAGCTAATAATTTTTTTTTGTATCAAGGTGGTCTTAAATTTTTCAGTAGGGAACAAGTTTGGAGGTATCGTTGCGCCGTCGATACGATGCCGTCGAGTTCACCTTATTTCATTTGAAACTTGGCTTTTTTAAGCGATTGAAGACCAGTGATGGTTACAACTATAGGTCACAAATCCATGACAAACAGAAATACTGCAGCAATTTTCCTTCAAATTATTCTGTTATAAACACACTTATATCGCTGCAGATTAAAAATTCCGCAAAATATACCATTTGATAGTATGATTCATTTTAACATCTGTGATTTTGTATAGATATTTGAATGCCATTTTTATCTGATTGCATTTCATTTTAACATCTGCATTTTCTTCATCTCTTTCGAGCTTTAAAATCGTTTTCGGTCACAATTTGAAACTAATTTTTTGACTGTGTAGTCATAATTTTGCTACATAATTTTTTTTCTAAATTTATTGTTTCAATTTGTTTTGGGCTCCTGAACGCAATACACAGATATAATATGAAAAATAAAGAGACATTGTTTTGTGGAAAATTCGTTCAGGAAAATTATTTTCCTTGTAAATGGAGTTTTTTCTAAGAATTTGTATGGGAATCTGAAAACAATTTGATTTGTATGTTGTAACTAAAGTTAAAGCTTTGATTAAAATGTCTCAGTTTGTAGCGCTCTAGTACAGCAAACTACCAAATTTTCTATATTTTCATCGATTTACAAGCAAAAATCAATATATGGACAATATTTTTCAAAATAATAGCTCTGTTAATGTATTCCTTTCGGCGAATTTCAAACATATAAAAATGCATTGCATTCATTAATTTATCACATAGAAAAAATTGGTGTCAACCCCTAGCAGAAAAATCACACTAAAATCTACATGTTGTGTCAAATACATTAGGCACAAAAGTGGGCGATGAATTATTATTGTGTCTTTTTTATCGAGAGAGAAAAAGAATGTATTTATCGAAAATATTCAACGAATATCCGTCGTCCACTAATGATATAATATGATGGCATGCGTTTAATGTATCGATAAATCAAAAAGTAATATAAATAATTGATAAGCAAGAAATATGTTGAAAATTAACGAATTCTGTTGAGGCGAACATTTAAAGATAATAAATGCATGACACCATTATTAATCCTTATTTTTTCCCTCTATTTTTTATATGCACGCATTATAGCAACACCATTACACCTCCTGTTCGAATCAGGTTTCAGTGAATGAGTGTATAATATACTAAGCGGCACATACAATTCATTTAAATAAGTAATCAAATAACAATTTACTATATGAATATAGATTCAATGAATTTGTGTTGAACTTACCATTGTCATTATAGATGATACGAAATGAATCTGAATGTAAGTGTCCGAAAAATTGTCCCAAGATTACTGATGAATATTTGCGTACGAGTTGAAGATAGCGTAAATTGTTTATCTCCGAAAAAGTGGTGTGACCATTTGGTTGGGCGCCCATTTGACGTTCATCGGAACCAGGCGGTATGTGTCCAACGATGTAAACCTGTGTGTATGTATATGTGAATTTTTTATCGATACAATGATCCAAAACGATTTCGTGTGTCGCATTTCAAATCGGTTCCATACATAGGGTCAATGGAAATGATTATGAAACGGAACGGAAAAATTAGAGTCAACCAAAATAAGAAAAAAAAAAATAATTCAAATGAAATACTGTGTTGGTAGAAAAAAAAACACACACAGGCAAATAGAAAGAATCTAAATGGTATGGTTGTAGTTGTTGGGCGTTTCATTTGAAATCTTTTTTCGTTTCTTCTATATTTATTTTCTGTCTTTTTTTATTGTTGTCCGTCTTTTTCGATCCTTTTGCGAATATTGTGCAAATGTCCGTATCCACCATACAATCAATTTTATTTGACTTGATATTCGTTTTACATTTCGTTTCCGATAACAGCAAAGTCATCCCAATACCCCGAATGCAATGCACACTGATGCCAGATTTTATCTCTCTACATTCACTTTTCAAAAGCTTCAACATAAAATATACATATTTTCACATACATTTATACATATACGTGTGTGTGGTGGTGGTAATCGAAATGCCAAAAAAATGTAACACGAAAACGAATGTCACAACACAAAATGTAAGTCAAATCAACAGCGCACATGCATTTTATTCTTTGCTGATGTCTGTCTTTTACAACATACCCCAAGATGTGATGTGTAAACACATTTTTATTCGCAAAAGTGTTCGAATACATTCGAATACCATCACAAATAACGTGTGCGTCTCAAATTCGTGCCATTTCGGACAATTTTCACATCACAATTTCGAAGATATCATGTCTTGTTACTTCTGCTTTTTTTATTTCGAACATTCTGATTATGAGTATACTATTAGGCGTATACAGACTTTTATTAATTTCGCTCAGATCAATGGATCTAGAACCAAAAAAATTTATCCACATACAGACATGTACGAATTCGAAATGAGGTAGAGAAAAAATGGTAATAGGATCTTGCATATGAGTTTATTGAAATCAAGTAAATTTTTTGTCAGTTGTCGGCCTAGATTATTACGACATGTCTTTGTCTTATTGAATTGTAGTGAGGATGGAATATTCAAGCACATCCTCTTATATATTACACAGTGTGCACAACAATTACCATAATATTTTTCATTTCTTTTTATCCACACTTCCAACAATCTAACATTCTTCTCATTTTCGAAATTCCCCACTTTCTATCACTATCATTACTCATGTCTGCATGTTCAAAAGCTGTCGTTTGTGTGTTTATTCTTTTTTGTTTGCTACTTTAGTTTGATTCATTTTCGTTTTCTTGTTCTTTCTTTCTCCTCAAAGTTTTAAAATAAGCTGCCTCTCTTGTGCTCTGACCTGCCCAAAAATTTGTTATACCGAATAGTGCACACGGCAAGTTTCGTTCCATTTCATGTGCAAGCCAACAAAATGATGTAGCCTATGCAGTTGGCTTTTGCTCGTGTTTTTTTTTATGCTCAGTGATTGTTTGCTAAATTGCAAGTCTGCTACTTTATTTTATATTGTGTGTGAAAATTCTTTTTGGTGACAAAGTATTGTGTTTTACGCGCGACCCAACATTTTCCCAGAGCCATAATGATAATAAAGCGAGATGGCAAGCGTAAGTAAGAGTGAAAGAGATACAGATATTGCAGAAAATCTGATATGTGAAACGAAATACAATAGCTACGAAATAAATCTGAAACAAAAATCCCTGTCGTCGAGGATATTCGGTCGGCACATACAAGCATCAATTGATTTTTTTTGCTCTCCATTTCTTTGGTGTTTGTCGTTTAGGGTTTTGTTGTTGTTGTTTTATTTTTCTTGAGAGAGGGGATTCATTTTATTTGAAAAAAAAAAAATCGCCAAAGAATCCGAATGGTATAGTTGCCATTTCGTTTCTTGGTCTTTTTACAAAAGCGTCCAGTCGTCTTGTTCAAACTGCTTTTTATTTCATTGCTTTTTTCTTATCCTCATTCTCTCTCCGTATCACCATTGTTTGGAACTGTTACCCGGCAAACGTGTAATTTCATACCAAATACACGAAATAAACCATGGAATCCAATGCTTTTTTCGAGACATAACAATTATGTAATCACATAAATGCTCAACAAATGCGATTAATCATAATACAAATTGAAGCTATTTCGGATAGGGAAATCACGGAATTCAAGCACCACAATCGCTCTTTGATGACGATATCGGTATACGTAGACCAAACTAACGAAAACTGAGTTGTGTGTGACATTTTATACGTCTTTTGTTATTGATTTTTTTTCTTTCGTTTTTCCAAGTATGTTTGTACTTTGTGATTGCACATTACGGTATATAATCATATAAATCCCATATAAAAAACACAGGGGCATTCGATTCCAATTTTCAATATTCTGAAACGGTCACACTTTATGCATGGCACGAAATCATGATGACCTCTGTCATGGTCATGGTATTTTCTATTTTTCTTTCTTGTATTTTTTTTTCTATCGCCGTTTCTATCTTAAAATTGTTTGATAGACACATAACACTGTTTCGGATTTACATTTCAGATTCAAATCGACAATCGAATTTACAGCGATTTTATTATCATAACATTATTCGAATTTAAAATCGAGAATCTTTAACTGGAAGGCAGGAAAATGTGTGAAAGGAAGAGTGTCGTAAATCAAAAACACTAACAGAAGAAGAAAAAACTCAAATCTACTGCACTCACACTGATACACTATCAATGTAATATCAGTTTTTATCAATTACTTCTGTAACTTTATCTAAACCGTTTCATAGAATAGTAGCGTACCCTTGCTAGCTTGAATGAAAATAAGTGTGTTTAACACATCTGTGATTTCAAAGAGGTCAGCGAAGTCTCGTATTATACACATTTAAGTTTAGCAGAAAGCTCACTACATCCTTTTGGCATGGACACGATGTTTTCATAATGAGACTACGTTCAGTGTTATGAAAATGGGTCTATCAGCAGACGTAAAACTATACTAGCTCTGAATTTTCATTGAAATTCAAGCTTCATGACCTTTGAGCGTTTTTTTTTTGAAAATATAAATTTAGTTTCGTTTGAATTCTTAAATAACACACACAGTTCTCCGAATTTAGTCTATTTTAGTTCGAATATATTTCCATTATTCATACGTTCATTGATCGTGTTATTTACACGTGATAGTTCCATTTGTGTTTTACTGTTTATTCATCTTTTTTTTTCGTTCAAGTATGCTTGATTTGTTAGCAAATTTATATTTCCCGGAAGTAAAATGTTTGATGAGGTGTTTCTATATATTCTGAGTAGATGCAGGAGATTATTATTTCATTCGGTATTGTCGGAATGTTAGGGGGCCCATGTCGGATTCAGAAAAGGTGGATAAATGTTTTTAAAATTATTTTGCACATCTTGTTGTTTGCAATTTGATTCGAAAAGCCATTGAAATGACTTGAGAAATAAAAACAAAACAAAAAATCGAATGCATTTTGATGATTCAGTGAATCGTGAACATTGTATATTGTATGTACATATATATCGACGATTGTCCTTCAAAGTACTTGACTTGTAGCGCTTTTCAAGAATACGCTTGAGATAGAAAATTTCTCGAAATCCAATTGTAACGAGGACGAAAAAAGCAACAACAATAACAATGAACACTTTTATAAAATATGAAACGGAAAAGGCAAAACGACCGAGGATGCACTTTTCCTCAAGCTTTTTCCATTTTAAAATGAAATAAACACGCACGTTTCTCGTTAAATGTATTTACAATTTATTCATGATCGCAAATCTCGAAGACAACATAATAAACTCAAACAAAACTCATCGCAAAACAACAACAACAAGACAATTTTAATTTCGTTCGTCAGCTAAAACGTTTTGCATTCGTTTTTTATTTTATTGAATGAATTTCGCTGTTGCGTTCATTTCATTTTGCATTGTTTCATATTAGACGAAATACTGATGAGATTTCAAAAAAACCACAACAAATAGAGCAACAACACAACATCAGAAAAAACATCCTCACTTTTATTTGTGCATATTCGCCAACAACAACAAATGCAATGACTACACTGACAGCGAAGAAAGGAAGAACAAAAAAAAAACGCATGAAAGTTTCAAGCGAACGGACGAGGATTTAATTAATTCTCTTCTCTTCGGCGTTTGTAAATAGAAAATTTTCTATAATGAAATTTTCTCGGAAATTTTATTGTATCAGCTTTGACTTTGACTGTTTGCCTAATACGCCTTGTTGCTTTCCTCCATTTGTGTTTGGCAAACGAAAATCATCAGCCGCACCATTGTAATTTTCGTTTAGCTTGGTCGTTTGGTGGATAAAACGAGGAAAAGAGACGAAAATAAAAAAACTTTTGCGGACATTTCGCACAATTACGAAATGAATTAAGAGATGTTAAGTGTTTCCAGTAGTAATATTTGAAAATTTAAATAAACAAAACATCCTCCGCGTTCACGCCAGTGACCGGTTCGCGCATATTTCTATGCTTGCCTAAATACGCTAGGTAGCATAGATATGCCAAGCATAGCCGCAAACGCAACCGACGCATCGCCGTTCACTCTATATGAACAATACACATGTTCGTTTATGCAGACGACCGTGCGCATACAATATAGCTCGAATCGAATGGTGACGGGTGCGTTGCGGCTTGCGTCTCCGCTATGCTTAGCATAGCTATCAGGCATAGAAATATGCGCGAACCGGTCACTGGTTCACGCTCTCCCTCTCGCATTCACTCTGTTTTTATGAAAATAACCTAATTAAATTTCTGGTGCGCATACAATTGTCGAATGGTAAAAGCGTGTGCGATGGAAACAAGAACATATTACCATTTTTCGTGACTCTGATGAATGTAATTAAATTTTGTCAAGTAAATATACTCTATTAAATATATTTGGAGTGAAACAGTGGCTTATTAAAAACCATATTGTTTCGCTTAATTCATGCACATGCACGCAGCTTAGACGGCATCTTTTTTTTTTGCTATTTCTGGCATCAGTGTTGTTGTGTTCAAGCATACTGGCGTATTCGAATGGAATATAATAATATTTAATGTAGTTTTATTGTTGAAGCAAATGGCATAAACAAAATCTTAAATTAATTCTGGCCCAAGATGAATGATCGTCAGTCAATGTAAAAAAAAAATAAAAATGAAAATTAAAGAGGCACGAATGATGATGAGTGTTTTACATACCGTTTCTTTGTTTCGGCTCGTTTTATCTAACACAGCTTCCAGCCACTCCCATTGTTTTTGTGCCTCATGGTTTTCGCCCGATAATGCGCTTACGGTCCCACCATGCTCATCAAAATTGCCTGCACTGTATCCATTGATGCCATTACTTCGATAATGATTTCCGTGGTGATACCGATAATTGTGATCATTTAAATCGCTCATACTGGGTCTTTGTCGAATTGGCGACGAATGTGTTTGTTGATATTTTATATCGTGTCGCATAAAATTTGTATTCAATGCGATAATTCGTAGTTTGCTCTTTGTTTGCTCAATGGTATAGTATCCGCCTATTGATGATTGTAAATTAAAAAAATTGAAAAATGTTAACAACTCGATAATGAGATTTAAAAATGCAATTTAATCAAAATGATGAAATCAATTAACCGTAAAAGGTATTTTATATTTTTCGTCTACGCTTTCTGCATCAGCAAAACAGATTTTTAATTTTTTACAATTTTATGAGAGAAATGATTATATATCGAGGGTCTTTCGATGTGTAGTCTAACTGATGTAGTTTCCACCCACGTGAAGTGTGTGGGAAAAAGTTTTATAATGGGTCCTATATTTTTAATGGTCGGAGATGACCTTTCGCAGAATGAGGATGAAAAATTAATTGAATTTGGACCAGGTGTGTTCCACAGATTGTTCTTCCATTGTCTTGTTTTTTGAGGTATGGATTTCAAATTCGGTTTTACATGATAGTATTGATAAATAGAATTAGGTCTTGCTTCAAGTTTTCATTTTTAAAATGTGGAATTGGTCTAAAATTTGATAGAAGTAGTACTCTTTTGACCACCCATCATAGCCAATCGTATTTTAACGATGTTTACCACGATTTACAAGAGTTTTGATCGAAAATCAACAACATGGTCCAACACGACTTATCTCAATTACCAAGTTTGACCATCATGTGTTGAAAAACGGCGAAAAAGTTCATCTTACCTACAGATTTTTCATTTTCATTTTGATGCTTGGGTGTTTTTTACTGAACTTTTTCTGTGAGATTTTTTGTTTAATTCTTGAATCAACGGTTTTTTTATTCATCGCTCTCCTTCGATATCCGTACACGCTGTGTTTGAAAAATTATTCTACTTACCTCTATTGAAGGTTTCCAACGCTTCATTCGGAAGCCAATGTCGCCATAGTTCGCCCAAAATGCGAAAGTTAATCCCGTGTCCTAGTCCATCGTCATGACCAAGTACCGGAAAAACAAATTGCGATGGAAACGTTCGACTGAGCAAATCCGTTATATTCCGTAAAACTTCCAACCGACGTGTTTCGATACTTCCCCTCATTGAATGTGTTAAAGCATCTCTGAAAATAAATTATGCAAATTACAATTATGTGTACGTTTTTTTTTAAAATGTTCGAATGGGGAAAAAGAACTTTTGTTCCTTTTTGTTCTATGTTCGTGTTTCTAATGAAGATAGAAAAAATCGAATAGCACAAATCAACATACACCAAACTGGGTAATTCTTGCTCTTATTTTGAATTCACTCTTAAAAATTGGAAACGAATAAAAAAAGAGAGAGAAGTATTTACATAAGTAATGTAAACGCTAATGTTCCTTGTTCCATTCGTTGGGGTTGGCCGATTTATGTGTGTATTTAGATTTTGTGCGGATTCCGACACGTTACTTGTTTATTATAATATTGAATAGCAGCGGTCCAATCGCATAAAATCGTGACAAACATTGACATTTCTCAAGAAATTTTTCTTGCGTCAATTGCTTAATTTCATTGCTGTTTTTTTTTCCTTTTCTTTATGATTCGATCCATTCTCTTGTTGTGAGCAACAATTTTTTTCGTGTTGAGAACTTTCAAAAACACACACTTAAATTGACGACTTCTTCATCGTCTTTTCTACTTGTTTCCATTTTTATTTTGCCCTTTTTCTTGTTGTTTGCTGATATATAGGTATGTGTGTGTGTGTTCAGACACCATTTAAAAAAATACAACTAGAATTAACTCGTTTCGTATTTGGCTCTCTTCCTTTGTGCAGCAGTCCAATTTATCCCACACGTTTGTATAATAATAGGCAACGAGACACACAAGAATACGACTATTTTCTTTTCCAGAGAACGAGCGCGCATTTACCCGAGTCAAATGATGTGAACAATTCGAAATTTCCTTGTTCTTTGTCGGTGTTTTTTGGTAGATTAATCTACACCCATAAACGACAGAGCAGCAAGTAGAAAAAATGTAATTAGATTACTGTTAAATTGTACGTTTTTTTACAGTTCTATATTTATTTTTCTGTATTTTTTTGCATAATTTTTTTTTTACTTCGTAGTTCTCTTTGTTCGCTGGTAAGAATCTATATTGTGTAGCCCTTATCCTGTTTCTGCACATCGTTATTCTTTTTGCCGTTCGCTCACCAACTCTCTCTCTAATCGTGTGCTTTATACTCAATTTTGTTATGCGATGTTTAAATTTTCAAATCGTACTGGGTGTATGTGTGACTGTGTATATGTAATTGATGCTTGTAGTACCGGAGATATTGCCAAACGTATAAAATAACAACAACAACCGTAAAAAGGAGCGAGCGAGAGACAAAGAAAGTGACGCAAAAAACGAGTGACACACAGAAAGACGAATAAAATAATAAAAGTAAATTCTAGGTTTTGGAAATGGCCAACAAGCGAAAATCATTCGTGTGTTAATTTCAGCACATGAGTTGGATACTTAATTTATTCCGTCCGAAAAACGAAACGAAGAATGAATACGAGCATAAAAACGTACAAAAAAAGAGAAGAAAGAATGAACGAACGAAAAAGAAAGAACAAAATACAAACCAAAATAGAAAAACCAATGAAAGAACCGAATGAGCGTGGAATTGAATGCAAACGAAAAAGACGAAAAGCGTAAGGGGACGGAAAAAAACGAACTTAAATTAAGATATACAAAGAATGTGTAAGCGTATGCTGGTACGGAAAGCAGTTTGCATCTGCATATCGGTGAAATTGGCTTGAATGTCTCTCTCTCTCTGTGTGTGTCTCTCATCTTTTGGGAAGATCGTCAGTAAATGTAATTAAACCAAGCTAAATGCCTGAGAGTAATGTGAAACACAGTGTCATTCTGAGCACGTGAGTTGTAAAAGCGCTATATAAATATAGTTTTATTCGTACTCCGGTCCATATGTGTACGGTGTACAATAGATATATATGAGGTAGGCAACGACCAACACATTTTTCGACGATCGACGAAATTGCAAATTGCACAAGTTAAACCACTCGGCGAGTCTCATATTATTGAACTTATTCTTGAAATGCTTGTGCGCTACCTGAAATTGGGCGTGCGCTGAATTGTTGAATTGATTGGGTTAGAATAGAAACCCGACCTGAAATCTATAAAACTGAAACACAGCATTTTTTCGTGTTCCACTTTTATAGATATTTATTCAGTTTTTTTATCAGAGTCGCTCCTGAGTTCGTATTATTTTATAGCGTACACTAATAGAAAAAGCATAATATTAATAGTTAGAAGCGGCACGCTCATGCGTGACAATTTCATGCTCTGGTTTTTATTCTAGCTCATTCAATTTCCTGTTCATTGCTATGTTCCTCTTCCTTATTTACTTATATGATTTCTTCATCGTGACTGACACCAACTTACGAAGAATGCCATAACTGAATACCTTTTAGTGTGAGACCACCGCAACGATGTTTCCATTTAAGGAAAAAAAAAAGATAAGAACAAAGAAAGAGAAAAAACAGTATGCAAATGAAGTTGGCAATTTTATATTTGAAATTGGTCCATCAACTTGTCAATATCTTTTTATAGATGCAATAGAAAATTGTATGTGTTTGTGTGTGTATACTCTAGCGGAACGCGATAAAACAAAATGAGTTGAGAGCACACACACCGCTTTTCTTCATAATCATAAAACAATTTTACATCGACCAATGTACAATTTACAGAAAGCACACAACGAATAATATATGCAAATCGATATGCGTACAGCATGGGCTCAAAAAGAATCGACAAACTGGTGCAAAATTTCATTTCGACAAAATGTTTGCGCAAAGTGATGTGCGGCATTTAATTTTTGAAGTGTGCTTCGGTGCCATTCAATACTTTACATGCATCACGAAATATAAGTGCTAGTTTACCGGATGGCAACGACCGAACGAACGAAAAAAAAAAAACCCCAGAGACACACACAAACCGTTTGAATAAACGAGAGTAAAAGAAATTGCGATAAAAAAAAAGAACACATTGATTATGAAAGCGTTTGCAATTGTGCTAGCTGCATCACACAGTGACAAAGAATGTGGGGTGTGCTTATCTACATCAGAGTACCTATCTACATCGTTGCAATAGGAATTTGATTCAGTTGCAATAGCAATCGAAATAAAATGGCTTCGGATGGACCATACACAAAAAAACGGTTGTATCATAATTCCGCACCTCTTCATTTCACGTGGATCTTTTTTATCGTTAATCGCTGAAAATTGAAAATACAATCAAATACAAAATCAATTGGAGATCATTGATGCCATTTCAATATGCTGTTACTTTTCCCTACCATTTTTTTGCGTCTTTTTTTACAGTGCTTCATTCTGTTTTGATCAACTTAAGTGTTAATAGCTGGGATTACAATCGCATTTAAATCCATTTCGTCAGCATGTACTAAGCTTATAAAATGTTTTTTCACGCATTTCATCTGCTTCTCAATCCATTCACAAATATACATACATATTTTCTTTGTGTGCTTGCTTGAAATTCGCATGGACGAATGATTTCAAAAATCAGTTCAAAAGATCTTCTACATAGAATGCTTATGTGTTCCGGATTGACAGTTGAAGGGCGCAACTGATCTGGATGACTAGGGTATCGTTGGTTTGGTCTCCCTCATTTTCGTCTATTTTTATAACTTTTAATCCTTTTTACGGGTAAAAATTGTTATCCACGTTGGACATCATGGTCAAGCATGGACCAAATAAATAATAAAACTGTGTTTCGTTACGTTAAATTGCGATGCAAGTTCTTGCCAAAAATTAGCTTGCAAAGCAAACTCAACTATAGAAAAATAAAAAAAAAACTTTGTATATAATTTGATTGACGGGGATACAAACGAACGAAGTGAGCGAGTAGTTGCTAGTGATACGATAAAAAACGTCATGGCAAACACTCAGAAAATGATAGCGGAAGCACTAATTGTTCTCGTTACTTTTGTGCTCTACCTCAAAATATGGGTTCAGCCATTCTGCTTGTGAAGAAAATCTATTGCTAACTACTCACAGAAAAATTTCCGGATATTTCGAACCCAGAAATCGGTTTAAATCACAGCGGAATGATTTCTGGGTTCAAAAGATCCGAAAATCCGAAAAACCGGATAACACTTAAATTTGAGACTTTCAATGAGACTTTAATCTGTATTTCAACGTTCAACTATCATCTTACGAATTTCTCTCACAGTTTATTTATATAAAGAAAACTGGAAAAATCTTCAAATCGATTTTTCTCGCTTTTCCGATGGGAAATCGAGAAAAATAACGAAAATTTGGTACCTCCATTGGGGCCCTATAAAGGGAGTGGACCACGAGTGCTCAACATCTAGAACATTTTGGGTCAGGTCGGATCCACCTATTCCACAAGATTCATGTCCAGATCATTTCTCCTCGCTCACTCTCATACGATATCATATGGGAATATTATGAGAAGAGAACCAAGGAGGAGGTACCAAATTTTCGTTATTTTTCTCGATTTCTCATCGGAAAAGCGAGAAAAATCGATTTGAAGATTTTTCCATTTTTCTTTATATACATAAACTGTGAAAGAAATGCGTAAAATGATAGTTGAACGTTAAAATACAGATTCAAGTCTCATTGAAAGTCTCAAATTTAAGTGTTATCCGGTTTTTCGGATTTTCGGATCTTTTGAACCCAGAAATCATTCTGCTGTGATTTAAACCGATTTCTGGGTTCGAAATATCCGGAAATTTTTCTGTGAGTAGACCCATAGTAAGACACCATTTACACAGCACCTCCGTTTTATATTATGTAATATATATGTTTTCATTTTCATGCATTTGTCAAAAAAAAATGTCGTTTTCGTTAATTTTTCAAAAAGTCGCGCTTGACACTAGTGATAGTATATATTATTTCGCATTTCCAAAGCTGTCTTACGCGCCAAGTTGTAGATTATTTTCGATTTAAGTTCTTACCATTGTTTTGCTGTCGCTGATGACATTTTACGTTCATCTTTCGTTGTTTATATGGTATATTGTGTTGTGAACATTTAAATTTCAATGTAGTGGTATATCGTCGTGTGTACAAAATGCGGGAGCGTTTGGGATAAGCATGTTATAAAACTACTCTCGTCTAAGAGGAAACGCTAAACGGAAAATTATGTAGATGTTACAAATTTTCACATCGTCCCTTTTTTCGCGTCATTCGCTTCTCTTCGCAGTTTTTGTATCCAACGTTTTTGGTCTATATTTTTTCTCTCTCTCTCTTCTTTGCTTTCGGCCTTCGCGAGTTGTGCCGTTTCAATTTTTTCCACGTTTGACATTATTCTTACTGTTTTCTTCGCTTCTCGATTCATCTGCACACTGTATGCACATCTCTTCATGGCGTTGAAATTATATGCAAAGGTATTAGTTATTCTTCTATTCTTTTCGGTTTTTTTTTTATTCAGTTTTTTCGTGTTTTTTCCCGCTTGTGTTTGACTGTGGATATTAGACTTCTTTCACTTTTCTCGCGTTTCCTTTTTTCTTGTTAAACTACTCCGGTTTCATTCACAATTTATTTATATGCGTATAATTTACTTTTCAACACCACTCTTGTGCTGTGTGTGCGAGCGAGAGTTCTTTTCATCTTCTTCTTTTCTCTTTTTTTTCAATTTTAAGCTTTATTCAGGGTGATTGTATGTGCGCGACACGGTTTCTTTCATTTTTTTCTTTATATATATATATCTCTACATACTGTTAATATTGAGCATTTAACCGTTTACAGTGAATGTCGAAGACGGTGTTATGCACGAGACAGAGTGAAAGCAACGAGTGCTTGTAATTGCCGTATTTTCTTCATCTTGGATTATTTATGGAGCGCACAGACTTCCTTTTTTTATTTTTTAAACTCCCTCCTTTCTGCTACTTCGTTGCAGCTTGTTCACTTTTTATATAAATATTTCAAAAACCTATTCGAATGCATTTATTTGCTGTTTTTCGCCTTCTCACTTATCTTGTATCTTGCACGTAACGCAACACATTCCAATCGACGAAATTGTTTTGTGGCACGAGGCGAGCACTTGATGAGTTGCTATAATAACAATTATTCCATATACGACGCTTTTATTATATTTTGATTGAGCATCCACTAAGCAGTGCAATGACATTCTTCTCAAATAATTTATTCTTTATATGCACAACTTAAATATGTCGGTGTTCTTTTTGATATGACGTTTTTCCGTTTGAAAAATCTTTATTCGGCAAATTACATTTAATCTCGTTTACCGTCTATTTTTTTTCTGGAAGCAGATAAATTTTCGTTGAAAAGGAATGATTTGATGATACATTGGAATAATTTTTCCTCAGTTAGACTATCTTCTCTTAAGTATTTATAGCTAGATTATTTCCAATGATTTATTCATCAAATGACCTGCGTTTTGTCATTCACATTGTTTCTGTTACTCTTGGCCTGTTCGCTTTTTTTTTCCTGTCTGTCGTTAAAATCGTCTTTGAATTGCAAATTCTGCACTCACACACATATATCTCGTGCAAAAAACGTTACATGGTGTAATTAAAATGAATTTCTTATGTCACATAATATGACGTAAATCCAAGTCATCAATCACGTGGCACTTTTTTTGCTGCCGAAAATATGCGTTAACGATATAGTGAGTGGAAAAAAGAGTGTTAGACCGAGAGCGACATTCTGTTGATTGCTACTCGTGTGCGGTTCATACTATGTCGCGACGGAGAAAATGGCAGTAAATTCGCGTATATTATTCGCGAGAAAAATTATCGATAAAACTGAAGAGAGAAACAAAAAGTAAATATCCAAAGTATATACCACTGGATAAATTTATCAGGCGGTATGCCAAGTATAGAAATATATATATATTATATATGTCATACAACATGTCGCACGGTAAACTGTAAAATAATTTGTTGCTGTTGTTGTTGTTGTTGCTTAAGGTGTTGTTACTGAAACGGCTGTTAATGGTATTCCATGGCAATGTTTTGAATACGACGCATTATATTTCATTATTATTATGATAGAGTAGCCCGTTTAAATGTGTATTTATGTGTTGTGGATATTCGTTAGCTGTGAAAACGTATAATTTTACACCATGTTTTGCTGATGTCTGTAATAATGACGATGAGCAATGTCACGGCTATAAGATTACACAATCCTCTTCTTTTCGCCTGAATTTGACCGAAATAAAGAAATGTACAACAACAAAAACAAAATTTGGTATTCGAAATTTTCCGAAGTCAACTGAATGAAACTGACAAATGGCAATACCTTTCACTCAACAAAATTCAGTAGACACAGTATGGATATTTGTGCATTGATATGTTATTTAAGCATAGAGAAGAAGATGATGGTGACGATAGACAAAATAAATCAGTTACAAAATACGCAACATTATGTTCGTAAATACCAACAGTCGAGAGAGAAATTGTCATGCGATTACATCGGTTTCGTATGTGCACAATATCATAGAATGCACGTCCTTTACTTCGATAGAATAGATAAAGTGTTGGCAATGTGATTTTGCTTTTCGCATGACTAGATTAAAAACGATTGCTTGCTGTTATGTTGTCGTTTTGTAACGAAAACTTTCCCACTGTAATCTGGTTTCTGGTGTTATTTTCTATTTAGTTGCACAAGCAATTCGGTGATCATTCAAAGCGAACAAACGACAGCGTGTTTTGAACGTGTATAAGCTTCAAGCTTTGTGTTTATTGTTCGCATTGGCAAACATAAGATTTCATTGATATTATTATCTGGGCAGTGAAATCTAATCAAACTCAAACGTCGTATTATTCCTTATTCTTTTTCTCGATTTTCTTTTTTGTTACTTTATTTGTGTAGATAATGCACATTAACACACAGAAATACGATTATAGTAATACGACTATTGGTGTACAAAAATGTCTTAATAAGATGATTGAATTCTTACCCGGTCCATAAAACGAATTCCACATTATCCCCTTGCCTCGATTTCATCGCTTGTGTTGCTGATTCGAGTAAACTCCATGGGCTGTCACACATATAGTCGCCGAATCGGCCAGGTTTTGAATTTACTGAATTTGTTTGATGATGTTGATCCATATGCCAACAATCTGTATACGTATGCATAGAAAATGATTTTATATACATAAACAAATTTTTTTTATTACACTTTAATCGTATGTAGTATGCTATGTAGGAAAAATATATGGACAAAAGCTAAGGGGCAAAATAGTACATCATCGTGTAATATAATTTCCAGTGTTTTGAACACACTATTTTAGGCTTCAGTACAATATAATATATCTTATGTTAAAAAAAAATTCTAAATGAAAATATAATTCTATTTACAGTGGGTATTCGAAAACACGAAAAGTTAATTTTGGACCTCGTTTCATGGTATCGAATATTTCATGTTTCTGGTTATCCTGAAAATTTGCTGCCAAATTAAATGAAAATCAAATGAAATCGATACTTTTTTTTCTATACACTATGTATCATATGAAAGGGAATTTTATTTATTTTATTAAATAACAGTTGATAGATTCTATTTTTAAATCAAAACTTAAAATGAATAATTTTAATTAAATTGGATTGAAAAAATCTTCAAGCGACGTTTGTTTACGATTATTTTCGATCATATCCATGATTGAACCAAAATATCTCACTGCATTTGTCTTATGTATGTATAATATAGAGAACGCAATCGTTACATTACAACAAGTGAGAGAGTCACGACAGTGCCACTTGAAACCGAATACACCAAATCAGATGATATTGATTCTTGGAATAAAGATGAAGGGAATTTTTTCGCTTGTTGAGTTAGATTGTAAAAATAAACAATTGATTTGACTCTCTCTCTCTCTCTACATATGTATATGTATATTACGTGTTGATATACGAAGTTTAAAATTCATAAAAAGTGTTTTTTTTTGCAAAATTCAAAAACATGAAATGCGATTTCATGTTATCGCGAAATTCATACATTTTGAAATCGTTTCATGTTATCGTGAAATTCACGGTTTCGAATTTCATGTTTTCGAATACCCACTATTTTTAATTTTTACAAATATATTTTCAGTTAAACATCATTTTAGTGTTATTTTACATCGAATTTAATTCTTGTAATTCAATAGTCTATTTATAATTCTGGGAACTATGATACACTATTTAGAACTATGTAGAATTTTTTGGCATTTTCGTGGTACTAGATGGAGGTTTGCAATGCTGTAGTAGTTTGCCCCTCAACGAGAGTAACATGAACCAAATGAAAGAAACGAAATATAAAAAAAAAACACATGAAAATACGAAATTGGATGAAAAGCAACTTAACAGGAATCGCCAATTGATTTTTTGCATATGAAAAGAAAGAGATATAGAAGGGTGGATAAAAACTTACTTTTGGTAACATCGCCTTTGGTTGAATACGTTGTGTCCAGATGAAGGTCAGTTATATGCCAGAAATATCCTTTAATAACAGCAACGACGTCAAAGATATCCGAAAAAGAGGTAAAATAGAATACGATTGATTATATATTGACTGATATATGTGAGTATATTTGAAGAATGTGAACAATTCGAGTGTGAAATGGATAGCTGTACAGCACTGTAATACTATAAGCTTTAGTCTGATATAATATGATTTTCTCGAGTATAAATTAAATTCAGTATCAATTTTTTACACTGCTTAACTTAATTCGCTCAAGACCACTGAAATTTGAAGCAATGGTATTCTTTCGATCGAACTCTCTCAATATCGAACTGTACAGTCACCTGTATCATCCGATGACCGCAGCATTGGCTGTTGATGCCCTTACATTTTCTTTCCAACATGAATCGTCTTGAAATTTGTTCAAGCGAAAAATGAGAAGCAACAGTGTATGTTATAATAACCGATTACCACTTAAAAGCATTTAATCACAATTTACAGCATGCTTATAGCTCAAAATTGGATTTTACAATACATTGTATGCTTGAGCATAAAGTGAATAAGGTTCAATGAATGCATGAATGACTAAGAGCATGGAATATTTCTACAAAACAATTTCGAAATGTCAAGCTAATATACGAAACACGTGAACATTTGTTATACTACAATTGTTTAAATACCATAAAAATAAGCACATAGCACACATATGCTCTATTTGCTATCCAAATCTATGTACTGTATTATTGACAACGGCAACAAGGTACGAAGCAACAACAACAGCAATGAACATAGTAGATACAAATTCAAAAGCATAAAATAGCTGCATCAAGTCAGTGGGTTATATGCATGCTCGTTCGTTTGATAAGCTTCGGAAAGACTTGTGATGCACATACACAACGATAAACGATAAGAATGCGGAAAGATTCCAGCCAAAGCTCACATTGATACTTTGTCTTTTGGTCTAATACGATTGCATGTTTGCATATACTTGTTAATAATGTATACAGAAAATCGTTGTCAATAAGTCGGAACTAACAAATTCAATCAAAATATTATTCTAAATGGTGTATTTTACATTTATTGGATTGCTACTCTCTGCCAAAACTCCGCCCCCGCCCCCACATTGAAAACAACTTGAAATTTTCACCTTTCGAAATGCATTCAATTTCATTCTTTCTCTCTTCGTTCCATACTATTTCGTAGTTTTAGCATTGAAACCAACAATACTCAAGCATGAGCAACGATAATAAAAATGTAAACTCGACGATTTATTTGCATATAGTGGAAAGACCATCGACAACATTCGAATCAAAATAGCAAATGCAGAGAGAAGCGATTGAGCAATACAGACGAAGAATAAGAGAAACAAGCGGAACAGAGTGGAAAGCTTAACGATGGGACGTTTTGGCATGTCGCTGTAAGAAAATGTACTACTTATAATACAATGCTTTATAGTGCGGCCAAAGTAGCTAACGGGCATGCATTTCAATCGTCTGTAAATGGTATACAGAATGGATCACTTTTCTTTGTGTATTTTCAGGATTAGCAAGACTTCACTCATATGCGAGTATCTGTGTATGTGTGCACCTATTTATATGCGCTCCAAAATTTACTCAGCAACTAAATATACGTGTAATGCTATTATTATTAACCGATAAATTCAAATGCCAATGGAAAAATTTTCCAGAACAGATTTTACTCGTGTATTTCGTCTTATAGAAAATATCATTTTTATTGTTACTGCTTTTACTGTTGCTGATGGTGGTGCTGTCGTTCTTGGCTGTTTGTGCTTGCCACTTTAGACACACACATATATTTTTTTTCGGGCTGCCAGAATTCGAATGCCATCGAAAATGTATGTTTGCACATACATATTCTGGTTGCACTGAGTGTGTGATTGTGTGTGTGCGAGAGAAAGATAGTTAAAGAGCGAAAAACGAATGATGGGTAAATGTGTGGTGCATAAATATTCTTTGTCCATGCATCGCATATCATCATATGAAATGTTTTGTGTGGTTAAAGAGGAATAGACCAGAAATAAAAAGAACAAACGTTTTCCATCCATCTGTCTTTCACTTGAGATAGGCAACAAACATAGTGTCTGTGGTATGGTTATCATGGTTCCGTAACATTTTTCCATTTAAGTCATGGCAGCGTGTTAAATTGGCTTTTGCATACACATATATATAATATGATACGTATATTTTTCCATGTTGAAAGTGATTCAACTTTCAAACTCAACTCAAAATATTCGCTTTGCTCTGCACCAACATTTCGATGTTATTCACTCTTTTTTCAATTCAACTTTGAAGCGTGTAGTTGTTTCAACATTTTTTTTTCTTTAATAAATACAAAATGTCTACCAACCAACACATTTCCGACGGAATAATTTTTTGGCACCAAAGACTAAATGCAACATTAGTTAGGTAATTTCAAGGAAATCATTATGAAAAATGAAAATTCTATACAAATTTATAGAGAATTTGAATTTGCTCGAAATCATCGACAACAAACCAAACTAATTCAGAGAGTAAAACGAAATCAAGCTGTGCATAAGAATTGGAAAGTATGTAAACGAAATGTTGGAAATTGAATTTTATAACAGAAGAGAAAATTCAAAATGGGAAATTGTTTTTGTTGTGAATTTATCGCATGTAACCAAGAATCAGCATGAAGAAAACCGGGAAGAGAAAAGTATCAAATGGGATTATTGAATTTTGAGATTTGGTTTTTTTTTTCGGCTCTCTCTCTCTATGTTTGCCATATTACTTTTACAAAATCACTAATGCACTCGACTTTCTATTCAATATGCGCACCACACTGTTTTGAAGGTATGCACAATATGCACATTGAAATTGGTATGCAATCAAAGTTAAAATATATTTTATCATCAGTATAAAAATACACACGATTAAGGGAATCGCATGTGAATTTTTCTTTCTCTTTCTCGCACTTTGTTCCCTACCCTCCCATCGTTCTTTGTTTCTTCTGCTCTACTTTTTCTTTCGCATCATGCCAGTTTCATCTTGTGGTTTATTTTAGACTGGGTATGTGTATGTGTATGTGCAATGTGTTCAATTGTTCCGCATTGTTCATTGTTGGTGTGCATTTTGTCTGCACCATGGATTGGAACAAAAGAAATATATAACAAATGCATCAGTTGCACTTGTCTCGTTTTAGTTTGAATTTACACGTCGAATGTGAAATCGTTGAAATGAATAATAAAAAAAAACGAGAGATTCAAAATGACTACGAGAACAAACGAAATGAACGGAATTTCGGAAGTAAAATTTAAATTGAATACTCATAGACATATAATATTACTTTTGAGCGCTTCGCTTTCTTTTTCGACTGTATTACTACTACACTCATTAGATTTGCACACAGCCAACTCTCAGTGAGAGAGAACATGTTTTAAACAATCAACAGTATGGATAAATTAACAATGAAAATTGTTTAAGCGCAGATATTGCATTACAACATTCTACAATTAACAGGATATTTAATGGAATAAAATAAGAAGCAGAAGAAACTACTCATCGTATTATTTCTTCACGGTAGTCACTTATGCATATCACTTATACTGCAGTTCATTGAAAAAGATTGGAATAATTTGCTGTCACCTATTGGTTATAGCTAATAAATTATTTGATGCCCGAATAATTGGCTGTAATTGAAGTGAAAAAAACTTTGCATTAAACATTGTGTGAATGAAGAAATTTTTGAACAAAGAGAAGGAAAACCTAATGGAAAAACCACAAACATTGTTGTCTGCTGTTGCATGTAATGAAAAATGACTTTTTCAAAGCAAGTCAAGTTTCATATTCGTTGAGAATTTGAATACATTGGATGGCTCAATACATAATGCATACGCATGTGTGCAATTTTTACATGCACCACAGAAATAAAGTGAAACCTATTGTGCATATTACAACAATCCATGGTTGGATCTTTATTCGGATGAATAAATTTGAAAAGTTTTTCAATTTATGTGTACGTCATGATTATTTTAAACGAAACCAACACACTATCAAATGCACAAATACACAACGGGCGAAAGACGATGAAGAGAGAAATCGTAATCGAAATAAGAAATTGAAATTGTAGTCGCAAAAAAAGGGGATACAATACTCTCTTTTCATAACACTTAAGCTATTACAATTTACACATAATGTCTCATAAATGTGATTTAGTTCAAATGCAGTCGATCGTTTGTTTTCAAGCACATTTATTCGGATTTTTTTACTATCACTTTTCATCAGAAGCAGTTTTTTTTATTTAAAAAAAAATATCCATAAAATAGCTCGTTTCACTTTGAATCTCGACGGGTTTGCAAACTATGTGAGATGAAATGAAGGCGAGAGAGAGAGAGAGAGAGAGAGAGAGAGAGAGCAAAGTTTCGGAGAAAATCAACTTGATGAATATTGATGAAGAGCTTTTTTAGCCGCATGGATGCATTCATTTCTGATTGAAAGAGTTAAAACAAGTTTATTCCAAACAAATCTAAACAATTCCGAACAAACAATCCATCCTACGCTCGTTTCAAACATATTAGAACTTTAATATCAAATGCTGGTGGAGAAAATAAGTGAAAGGAAGATGCAATGGTAAAGGAGAAAAAAATTTTATACTATGTTTAAAGTAATTGGTTCATTGTTAAAGGAGATTGCAAAATAGAAGTGCAGAGTGAGTGCACGCAAGTGAAGAGAAACAACACAACAGTGATTGAGTGAGTGGAAGAATGAATGTTACTGAAAATGGAAATAGAACGAGAAAAAAAATAGTACAAATAAAATTGATTTGTTGTTATTTTGCAAAAGCTGAACTCGAGAAATATCCATCGATTTTACTTTTGGAAAAAATCTTTAAAATAGAGCATGAAACAAGCATTTAGGATGAATTGCACTGCCCTGCAATACTAATCACATCAACACGAAATAGAAAAATGGTGAAGAGAAGAGAGAGAGAGAGAGAGAGAGAGAGAGAGAAAAGAATGAATGAAAGGGCAGCAACAGCAGCGGCATGAACAACATTTGGAT